GATTCTAAAAATGTTCAAAAAACTTAATACAAAAAATATAGTGTTCATCGAATCATAAAAAGATCATCAAAAATCATTCCTTGATGTGATTGGACGCTGATTTAATGAATAAACCACCCAACATCCAATTAACTTAATGAATTAAACTTCAGAATAAGAAATGTCAACAATTCGAACTGAAATAAAAATGCAGACAAAAAATAGAATACATGTTTTTAACTGAAAATTGAAACTTGTTGATCTATCTTGTCAAATCCAAAATGAATCAGATGTTTCATCCATCATCCAATATTTCTATATACTAATCGAATACTTCACATGAAATGTCAAATGAGATGTAGAGTTTTTATCCATTCATTCGTATTTTTGAATTTGTTGTTGTTGTTGTTGGTGGATGTAACTTATCCATTAAAAAAACATCCATGGATATTACTTATTCAGTCATTTTAAAAACAAAATCTATCCATGGATGAATGGATGTTGGATAATGGATAATTTGGGGGACCATTGACAGTGAGCCAAATTAATTCGGTCCACGATAAATACCAGCAAATAAGATTTCTTTGAATTTTTGATCATAAATCATGAACATAAATGGACGATCACAGTAAAAACGATGATTCAAAGCTAGTCCAAGCACACGCCATTTTTTATCTGTGGAGCTCTTTTGCCTGATGAAAGATTCCATCAACTTTTATATCTTCAGCGAAACCGGTAAAATTTGCATTATCGTTGAAAATGTCCCCAATAAAAAAAGCAATAAAATTTAATTTTTAAATTCATTCTTTTACAAACTCCGACAAACCCACATTCCGTTGAAATATGCTGCATTTACAACAGCAAACTTTGTAATTAGTCTTATTTTCTTAGAGCTCATAAGATTTTTGATATTATCCTTAGTAGCTACTTCAACAATTCGGGTAATTTTTGCAGTAGATTGGTGTAGTTTATGAAAAAAGTCGGGAAATTGAGAATGGACCTTGTTTCATCGAATTCGGCCATAATTCAGGCCATTATCACGCTCCATCATAGATCTGTGGAGGCAAACTTCATTTTTGAGCCGATTTATATGGAAAATCAATCATTTTTCATATTGAAAAATATCGATATTTCAATGACCAATTCCGGCGAAATTTTGTACTACACCGAATGAGTTAGCAAGCGGGAAATTGAGATTGGACCCTAATTCACCCAATCAGACGGTGAATAAATAAATAAATAGCCACAATTCAGGCCATTATCACGCTCCATCATAAATCTATTCAGGATTACTCAATCTAGTGCATATCCAATGAATCTTTTGTATTACACTTCTACTTAAAGTTACATACAGTACTGCTCAAAAGTATTAGAACAAAAATAAAAAATACATTTTTTTCGATATATTACATCATTTATTAACAAAAACCTTCGTTTATTTGCTTTAATTTTTGTAATTGTATAGCCACGTTAAACGTATAAAATTAATGCAAATAAACAAATGTTTGTTAATAAATGATACAAATATATCAAAAAATGTATTTTTTTCTTTTTTGTTCTAATATTTTTGAGCAGTACTGTAAGTATCCGTTATGTGATATAATAATAATAAATTAAAGTCAGTTTTTTGTTCATTTTTATCAAGGGCTCTTTTTTATTCATTGCTTCGTTTTATTTTTCTTAAGTTTTCTGACTCTGTCCGTTGCATTAAATAACGGATGCTTTTTCCATTGAATCGGGGAAGAACAGAGATAAATCCGCAATAATAATAATTTTCTGTAAGTTCTTTACAGTTAAATCTTGCGCATGTTTTATATTATAATTCTAGTAATTGCTGCGACTAAAATAGGTAATAAAAATGAAAATAATGTATAATAGTCGAAATACTTCAATTTTACTCTTAAAAAACTTGAATCAAAATAAATATGATGATACACATATTGGATAGACCTATTGCAGTGACTTGAATAATTGAATAAGAATGACATGAAAATTCGATAAAATTCTTTTGTTTTTTATAATGAAAATTATAAATAGATCTTCATTTCTTGATTATATTTTCCAGCGACTTTGTTTTAGACTAAATCTTTGAGAATTAGAGAACTTTGAAAATAGGCTATATTTTACTCTATCAAAAAACTGTAAAATTTCTGAATTAAATTAAAAATTGCCACGCAAATTTCCATGTTCACTTACTATAGGAATAATTGATGTTCTTATAGAACAATAAAAAAATTGCTATAGCCGAATTGAATCACAAGACTTGGCTCGGAGAAAATATCGCTTAGAAAACAAAAATTAAAATAATGTGAAAATTATGTTCTGTTGTTTATGATTTTGATACACTTGAAAATATATCATTTATGGACAAATGGATGTGTTGAAATGTTGTTGCCTTATTTAATGGAATAAAACATGGTTTAAATAAACATTTTTTTAAATCAAATTTTTGAAATTTTGTTATATTAAATGTAAGTGTTAACATTCGAATCTGAATTTATTGCACAAGACCGAATAAGAATAAATTTTGTTGTTGCCGATGAAAAGCATTCATTTTTTGGTACCAACATAAATAATGTTTTGCATCACTCTATCTCCAAATAATTGAGAATTTGTGATTTCAATACGACCAAATTTTGATTTTTGTTATTATTTTCTCTTTCTCATTTTATTGATAAAAATTTAGTGCCATGTTTGGATATTGCTGTTTTTTTTTTCATTTCCATTCTCCACCGCATTTATATTCAAACTTAGAATGTAATCGTATTGTTTCGTTTTTGTTTCAAATACAATTTCAAATTAAAAATCCAATAAATCGTTTTAAGAGCGTACTCTTTCGCCTACATATATATAGCAATTTAAATAATATACACACATTCACATGTGACATGTGATTTTCGAATTATTTCAATAAATTTCCAATGATGTAATGATTTGAATTTCTCACAATTTCATACGATAAATAAATTGAAATGTTCAATAGAATTAAAAAAAAAAAACGAAAAGAAAAAGGACGGTTTTTAATTTCGTAGCACTAGTGGATCTATACTGCGATCATCACTCTTAAACTGTAAGTCTAATCATTATGAGAAATTAAGCCTTATATTCAAATTATTACACATTACTTCCAGTAAATCCGATATATAATCTACGAGATTGTAGAAATAAAAATGTGTTTCTAAGAAACTGAATGCAAATTAATTTTGGTAATTTTATTATTAAACGTGTGAGAGAAAAGAACTCATAAAAAATTGAATCGGGAAATTGACAAAATGAAGAAATCTTGTTTTCTTACAATTTCTGTCGTGGTGGTGCATTTTCTTTAAAAATGAGTCACATAAATATTGCATCTCCACAACAACAAAAAATAATATACTAACAGCCGTGAAACTCACATTTGAGTTTCGAAATAAAATGGACATTTGTCGCACTTACTTAATGAAAATGTTGCAATTCATCTAAAACAGTCCTAATTAAATACAATCATTTCCACAAAAAAATAGCTTGTGATTTACGCATACGCGCGATAAAATTCATTTTCACTTACATCGCTAATGTTCTTCTACAAAATATTTTCACAACGAATAACGAATTACGTTTTAAATATTCCTTTTCTCTTTCCTACATCTAACCGAACCGGTTTTTGAACTAATCAAAAGGAAAACAAACGTCAATGTTCATAAGTGTTACAGCGCAAGAGAGAAAAAAAAACAACTTAAGAAATATGACAATTAACATAATGATTTGAAATGAGCCGGAAAAAATGGTTCTCGCTTCAATGATCTGGGCGCATTCCCATTTTACTTCAATATTTGTTGATATTACTAGTTATCTATGTTGTATTTTATGCGTTTTCGCCAAATTCTTCCTCGTCACTTGATTCGGTTGACATCACAGTCCAACGGTTCTTATTAAAGCTATCCTCGCTAAATTGCTGCCGCAGTTGGAGATTATTAAATTGCCCAACGCCACTGTGAAACGATTGCGATCGAAGTACCGCACTGCTGCTCATCAAAATCCAAAATTGGGAGAAATGCCAAAAATAGAGACAAAAAAAAGCACAGATTTTCATTAATTTTCAGATAAAATAAAAATAAAAAAGGGTAAAGTACTCGGCTCTCACAGCTATATATACTAATGCGGTTAGTTACTGCCAGACCATATACTGAGCATAGATATTTATCCAAAATATTTTGTGAGTATCCGATCTTCTAAACGAACTGTGTACAAGACTTGAATCGAGGTGTTTGACTTAAAAACAATTCGTTTGAAGGAGTAATAATGCACAGATCGACGTTCATGCTTACGACGAGCATCTTTGTGTGAGTATATAGCCTTCCATCGTATTGTGTTTAAGGTACACACGCCAATTCGAGTCTCACACACACTTTGTTTAGAAGGAGCAATAATGCATGGACTGCTGCGTTAGTTATCGGTTTCCCACAAAATATTTCGGATAAATATCTATGCTCAGTATATGGTCTGGTTACTGCAATTAGCTAAATATTATTCTATTTATAAAAAAATGGTTGGCGAATTTGTGGAAGAACACACATTTATTAGTGGTGTGTAAAAGAAATCAATTCATTCATTTTTGAGCTTTGATTTCTTTCGGTGGTAATTTCATCCGATCACAGTATACAAAGACGGTTAGATTTGTCACAAGTACATTTTTGGTATTTAGTCGTGCAACAATTGCAGAAGAATATGTAAAGTGTATAGCATGATAGTGGGTATGTGTGTTCAGTGCGAGTGTTGAAACATTTAGATATCATTGAGTAAATTGCATTAAAAATGTGAATTGCATCGATTGTCATACATTATTTTTGCCTTATACAAATCTGGTATTGTTTGTGAGATATGACTTCTTTTGAAATGATTGCACAAAAAGTGAGCACGCCAGTGAAAATAATTGCAAAATTTATCTCTAAAATCTTGAAAATTCCACCTTTCAAACAACCCGATTAAAGTTTGTTTGAATGATTTGTCATATGGAAGAAGTTGCTTTAGAGTATTTCAAATCTCAATTTTTTTTTACAAAATTAGTATATTACTCAAAAAAGAAGAAAAACCATTTTTAGTTCAAAAATAAATGTTAATATGTAAAACCACTCGGATCACAATTAATTCAATTAGTAAATTTCATTTTGTTTTAAATCTCTGAACAAAAATGCAAACGAAATTTGAAGTAAAACAGTTGAAATGCTAATTTAAAACAATTGTATAGCCTCTATTTAGTACTCTATTCATCTCCACTCGAAATACCAAATTCAAATTTATCACTAAAAATCGTGTTTTTTGGAGAAAAAGAACCAATTCTAATTGAAATTTCTAATAAGAACATCACTCAATTGATTCAAAGCTAAACACACAAATAAGAAAAAAATTCAATTGAGCACACACACAGTGTGACCAAAAGATTAAGTTGTTCAAAAATGTGCTATAATGCCAAAGAAACACCATATATAAAACACTCCCTAAATTGGCAAATCAACTCGATGAAATGACTCAATCGCATTAATAAATGAGAAAAAAAAAAATCAATTCTTTTTTTTTTGAAAAGCAAACAAATCGGCCAAATATAGAAAATTGATTGAAATAAATTTAAACGGAACAATGAAAAATGGATAAAAGAGCGAAATTTAATGAAACACATAAAAAATGAACGCAAAATAAATTAGTGTAATCGCAAGAAAGCCGGTTGATACGTTGTTGTCTTGTTTTCTTCAACAAATAGAGCTTGCCAAAAGCATTGATGAGATGGAATGTGCGATTTTTTTTTCTTGCGATTATTGACTTTTCCATTTGAATACAAATGGACTTTTTTTTTGCACACGACACAAAAGCAAACATGAATATATAAAATATAAAAGTAGCAACGAATACATGAAAAAAAAAACACTGTTTTTACTGAAAGAAAGCGGTAGAGTATTTCCATGATTACCGTTTATGTGATTCGTTTGCTTGGCATATTCGTACTTGTGTGGCATTGCCAACATTTTATTCATTTCTTTGGTATTTTATTTTAAAAATAAATTCGCTAGTTTTGCTCGCGCAATTTTGCGTTTGGTTTTCTTTTGGCCTATGACATACAGATTGTTTGTTTGTCTCGATTTATTATATTGTTCAGCCTCATCATCGTCTTCAACTTTGTTTCAGCGGAGAGAAAATTTAAAATAAAATTACGAAATTAATATTGTTTTGAACACAAAATAATTTTGATATTTGGTGCAGATTTTTTTCAATCTCAAATTGTCGAAGGGCTGCTTTTATAAAAAAGATGGGGAAAATAGTAGATATTGATGGTATGCAGATACCTACCTATCGCTGAATTTACTTGACTGTGCCACTTTCTTGGCTTCTTCTTGTTTTTTGCGTCCTTCTGCCGCAGCCTTCATCGGATCGTATGTGGCACGTCGTCGCCACATTGCTAACTCTTGCTCGCGAGCCTTGGAATCTGAAAAGGATTAAGAGAACGTCGTGAGCACTAGTTAAACAAGGCATGAAAGAAGAAGGATTTAAAAGAACGAGAAAAAAAACGTTTCATTCTTAAAGAAAATCGATTCGAATCAATACTGTGGTCTTTACCTTTCGAAATAATAGGTGTGCTGGGTTTAGCTCCAGCCGATTTAACGCGACCACTTGTCCGCATTGGATCACCTTTGCTTAGACCAATTGCACTGGGACTCTTACGAATTTCATTGCGATTGATTAATGTGCTCTTCGATTCGTCACGCTTCAAAAAGGATTGGCCTTGTACCGGCTTGTACTTCGATATGTCCATGTACTTTGGAAGAACTCGTTTATTGAGACTGCTTGTGCTGCTGCTGCTATCTTTCGATGCGGTTTGTGTGAGTGCTTTTTTCGTTGTTTGTAAATTTGGTAGGTCCTGTTTCATTCGTGATAAGCTTGAATCGCGTGGCATTGAAGTTGGATCACGGAATGATGCCCTTTGATTGCTGGCCCGTCTTGGCATTTCTGGTGTATTTGGACATGCAACCACACCTTTATTTCCGCCTCCAACACCGCCGCCGCTGCCGCCACCTCCGCCGCTCGCAATTTGTTTATTTTGTTCCATTCGCATGAGAAACGCCTTATTATATCGTGTATGTGAAATTGGTGGTTCGGATTGTTGTCGATCTGATTCATAGCGGCCACTATCACCAGTCATACTGTTTGCATCGTCCATCGATTCATCGGACGAATAAATCAGTTCATCACGATCGGTATGCAAATTATCGCGACCATTTATATAATATGTTTCATTTTCATTTTGATTGTATTGTTGTGGGAACGTTGCTGACGCGGTCAATTTCTTGAAACTTGAACTACTGGCCGATTTCTGTAGTGCATTATTATTTGTGGCCAAATTAATGCGATTCATTAGCTTTTTCGTAGCTGTCGGTGTGGTTGCTTTCGTTGGCATTATATTTACAATATTTCGATTGCAAAATGAACTTGAACGGCGTATTGGTGATCCCATTGTATTATCACCGCAGCTTGCGCGACGCGCATGTTCCGAATCACCAAAGTAATTATTTAGCAAACGTTGTTGTTCGATAAGTTTTACACGTGACATTGTTTGATCGATATTCGTATGCTTTGAATTGGGCAATTGAATTTGCTTATTTTCATAGGAGTTGTGACGAATGTGTCGTTTGTTAAGCTGCTCTTTCAATTCCTGTGCATTTAACATTCCATTTGAATCGTAGAATTCGTGATTTTTATTATTTAGTTTTGTTGTTGCATTATGCGAAATATCTAGCGATAAATTGCGTTTGTGTAAATGCAACGGACGTAAGTTAACCGATTTTTCGTAATTATTGCGTGCCGACATTACAGTGGCGGTGGTAAATTCTGTTGGCGCTGCTTTTCGCATTGGACTTAATGGACTTTGCGGTGAGTTATTCTTTCGGTGAATTTTTTGCAGCGAAGATATTGCTGCGGCTGTTTTTTCTAAGTACATTTCGGTGTCAAGATTTTCGAGATCCTGTTAAGTTGGGAGGAAAGGGAAAGAAAAAGGTGATTTTTTAAATGTCAACAAATTTTGATTGCAGAAAAAGAAAATTATGTAATTATAATATACAAAATGTATTGTAATATTCTATGCTCTTTTTTTTCTTCAGAACATTCTATTTCTTTCGAAAAATCGATGTTTCTTCAAACTAACAGCAATGTTCTATTATGGGATTTCTTTTTAAAGAGAAAACCACTTTTCTTGTATTCAGGTGTGAATAAGCCAATAAGAGTTCTGTCGATATAAGCACAGATAAAAAGGAGAAAAAAAAAGATCCAAAACAAACTTACTGCATTGCTATTGCGAAAGCTTCTATTGGCGCTCGAACTTCTTGCCCGTAACTGTGTATGCATTGGTGATGGTATTTTAGTTGGGCTAATTGGTGGTCGAAGCACATTATTAGGTGATGATTTTTGATCACCAAATTCAGTCTTTGCGTTCATTGTTTTGGTTCGTCCGATGGATCGTGATGTGTGCGCTGTACACTCATCGCTGCTATTTTCGATTACATCATCACCAAATTGTTCGCTATGATTAAAATATGTGTCATAACTTTGTGACATCCGATCATCATCTTTTCCATGTAAATGTGCTAAGTGTGGTCGCTGCGAACCGGTTTTAGAATAATGTTGTATTTTTGGCGATGCCGTTGCTGAACTGGCCAACAAATTATTGCGACGCCGTGCATTTTTCGCCCATTCTTGAATCCAATCGTTTTTCGTTGGTGCGGTTTTTATTGTAATTGGTTTATCATCAACACATTCAACGCTTAAATTATCATCGTCGGTATGAACGGGCGATGTCCCAGACGATGTGTACGATGAAACAGTTGAAAAAATATTTAATTTGTATTCATTGTGTTTGGCTTTCTCATAATCCGTATATGAAGTCATGAGTGTATCATCAACTTTCGGTTGAATATATTCCGAACTATCGATTTGAAATTTGGTCAGACTTTGTTTGCGATTTCCGCTCGCTGACATATTATTATTATCTTGATAATGTTTATTTAGAACACCACATGCTGTTATACTTGTAAATACACCATGATCTGTGTCAATGGGCGACGAATCGTCTGTACGCACCACTTGTAAATTCATTAATTTCTCGTTGGTTGTTGTTGTTGCTGCTGGTGCTGGTGTTTGTAGTGGCGGTGTGATTGTTGTTATCGATTTGCCACTGTTCTTGTGAAATGTACGATCGCCAATTGTCTTGACACGTGTTTTAATCTTATCTAAATAGGACTTGGCCGATGATTTTGATGACGCTTTTGTTAATTGATCACGTTCGACAGCACCGATAGAACCGCGTTTATTATTGTGTTGTTTTATATCCATTTTTATGTCGTTACGTGATGAATGGTGCAGCGCATTTTTTAAAGCCGACGAATAATTTTTGCTGAGGTCATTTTGCCTTGATCTTGAATCAATAGACAAATCAAAATTTCTCTTTCCTAATTTGTCAATGCTCATGCGCTCCTTTTCTTCTTCGGTATAATTGTCACCGTCAAGTGTGTAGGTGGCTTGACTTGCCTCACCGATCGATCCTTCGTCATCTGAATTTCGTACGTATTCCAGTGGTGCCGTTACAACATGATCTCTAATCGTTGTTGTCGCTTTTTTCACCGAACCGGTTACCACTTTTGATTTTGAACTATTTATGTTTGTCATTGGCCGCATGGAATTATTATTATTGTTATTACCTTCCAAAGCACGCTGTAAAATCGTTGATTTTGGTTGAAAACCGCTTGAATGGTTAATGACGGTGGTGGAGATGGTAGTGGCTGTTGTGGTATTGGCATTCACGGTGCTATCAATGAATTTTGTTGGTTCATCTTTTGGATTTGAATCTTGAGGCATCTGCGGTATCTTTTCATAATTTAAACTTGATCGTGGACTCCAACTATGCCGTTTCGATGAGTCTTTGCAGTTTTGTGTTTGAACAGCCGCTGGCCGTGGCCGTCGTAGCACAACTTTTGTATCACATTTTTCATCACTTTTTGTATCATCATTGGCAATTGGTTGCTTGTTGTTAATGCGTTGCTTGAATGGTGGTTTTGTGGCCATTGCCGTCGTTTTTGTCGTTGTTGTTGAAACATTTGAATCATCGACCGATAATTGACAATTATCCATATTGTTTAACGATGTTGACGACTTTCTTGATTCATCTAATTTTGATAATGATACACCTCGTCGATGTCGACGCTGTTCTTGTTGTTGCTGTTGTCGATGTTGAAAACGTTCGGCAATCTCTTTTTTTTTACGATTGTCCACCGTTTTACCATCATTAAAATCAATTGTAAATGCAAATCCGGCGGCATTTTTATTTTTGGCGGTTTCAATTTTATTGTCCATTGATTTGTTGCATTTATCATCGGCTATTGAATTTGAGCTGGTTGTTTCGTTGTTTGTTGTGGTTGTTGTCATTCCACTAACACTGGTTGTTGATAAATCATCATTTGGTGTATTATCATAGCTACTTTTTTCCAAATTTTCCGGTGAAATATCATATTTCTCCGATTGATTTTCAATGTCAGCCATAGCGGTGCTAGTTGGCTCGCACTTAACACCACAACCGACTTCAATCGCTTTATTATTATCATTTTTAGATATTTGCTGAATGCCCGCACTTGTTTCATCCATTTTACAATTATTATTTGTTATTCGTGATTCGTGTTTGTTTGTTTTTTTTTTTTTGGGAAAATCTATTTCTTACATGAAATCAAAGCAGTAGTTTGATCCGATTCACATCAACATTAATTGCTTTCGCTGCACTCAAAATATGTGTGCTATCTTCGAGTTCAATTCGAGTTTATTTCATTGCCAAGCGATAAGAGAGGGAGAGAGCAGCAGAAAAAACGTATCATACAAGAAACAAGTGAACAATTGAAAATAAAAATACGAAACAAAAGGTATTTTCAATGGTATGCATGTATATCGTTTGCTTGTTTCGCATACCAAATTCACTCGCACACACAAACGTGCCGCATACACATACACTCAGACCCGAATAATCTGACAGCGCGCGATCAGTTTGCAAAGTGCAAGGTAACAATTGAAAGTTCCATGAGTTCTCGTATTCAGCACACACTTCGTCACTTGATGATGACTTGATGAAAAAAAAGGGTACTCACACACTTTGTAATCAATGTCATCAACACTTTTCAATGCAATAAATTCACTATTCACAGCAGCCGTAATTCATCTTTTGCTCTGGTTTTGTTTCGCATTTGCCGATTCAGTGTAACTCGAATATGTTCGTCTTGTTTCTCGATAAATTTATCTCTACAGTATCTATTTAATGGTCGTTTACAGGTTGCTATTTGTTGGTATTTTTTTCTCTCTATTTTATTTCTTTTAAGCTCACAAACGTGCATTGAATTGGATGAGAACCGCAGCTACATATATTCACACACAACAATTCATGTACACCAAAAAGGGAAGAAGAGACGTAGAAAAAAAATATGCCACATTTATTATATGGTATCGCGCAAATGAATTGGAGTTGAATTACGTATGTGCAATAAAAATGACTTGACTCTAATTAATTGTCACTAATTTTGTTTGGTCACACAAAAAAAAAAATAACATACGTGTTGTCATCTACACATCACACAAAACAATCAATTCAACAAACGAGTTGTCCTCAAAATGATGAGCACTTTTCTTCGCAATAATACACCGTCGTCGTTGTCGTTGATGTTGTCGTCGTTGCGGTGTGTTTCCGTGCACACAGTGATGTCATTCACACAAAATATATCTTTTTTATTTTATATTTTATTTCATATTTCTGTATTTTCATGTGCTTCGAACCGAATGATGATTTTGGATATAAACACGTTTGCCTTTTTTAACTTTTGATGTATGAGACAGAGAGCAATAGCAAGACAATCTTTGCCTATGTCCCCCCAAGCAATTCAAGTGAGACGATTAACTATTTGCGTTTTTTTAATATCTTGTTTCATTTGACGGAATCACATGCGAACCAATAAATGTCGGAACTAAATGGATCGGATCTTTCTCTCGTTGTTTCTTCTTTCAGATTTACACAATTCCGTAATCGTGTGTGAAATGTAAATTAGCGATATATTTAAACGACAAAACGACTCTGCTATTTATGATAATAATAACAACAATGGACTAAGTTTGTTTTTTTTTTTTATTTTAAAAGTATGTATGTCTTTCCTTTTTAGTTACTTAATGATTATGCTGTTTGGCAAACAGATAAATTGCCTTGTGTTATTGAGGTGTATATTGTTGTTGGCTACTGTGTGTATTGGTGCATTGTCCGATGTGTCAACCCGAAATTATGTGTTTTTTTTCTCTCTCTCTCTTTCTTGTACTTTGTTTAAATGTCATATGTGTGTATGTGTGTGTGTTTTTCCTTCGTCTTAATTATGCTTCACATAAAATTCCGATCGTTCACTCACAATTCGAGGCCTCGGCACGGTGAAAAATCGTTTCGACACTTACTTCTGTGGTTGTTGTTGATTTTTTTTAAAAAGTTTCTTTTCTCTAGTTGTTGTGATTTTCCAAGTCGGTGTTATGTATCTATATGTGATTGTCGTTTTTATTCGCGACACAGTCTTGCAATTACTGTTTACTACTCTCTTGTCACACACAATTTACTTTTGACAAAATACGATTAAGCAAATTTTCAATTGCTCGATATAGTTCATTCGAAGTTCCGATTTTAGCCCCATTCTATTTTTGCGCTCAATGATTTTTCAATTTACTTCTCTCTCTCTCTATCTCGTGCACGGTTGGTTTATCTGTCCCTGTTTTTCTTTTAAACACTATTCTATAGTGTGCCTCTCTGGTCACATTGCCTATTGTTATTATTTTACTTTTGAGTGACTTCGATGCAATAAAATCACTGAACCGAGCACTTATCGAATTGACTGACTGACTTTTGTTTTGTATATGAGTTTCTTTCGTATTTCTTCTCTCGATTTATTTATTTAGACAATTGTTGTGGTTTCTTTTGGCAATTTTAAAAGCACTATCAAAAAATTTCTTTTTCAAGAAATTTGACGATTAATTCTAGATCTATTTTATCACTGACAAAAGTTCTATCCTTGTGTGAATTTTTTTTTCTGCTTCTTCATCACAATGCATTAGCGTTACCCGCACACACACACGCATACCATGAACTTTGTTTATGTTTACTTAATTTGGTCATTGCGATGCGTTTTGCATTTGAAATTCGCAATCATTGTAACTGTATGCACGATTTTTTTTCTTTTTCAATTTGTTTTACCATTTTTGAACCCTTTCTATTTTTACAAAATGTTATTACATATGTATATATTATATATATATATATATATATATATATATTGACGATACGGACTGTGCGCGTTTCTCTTCTTAAATGGGACTATCTCTTATTCGTTTTGGGGCAAGCCGTCAAATTCGACGACGATGAACGATACACTGTAACCACAGTCACTTGCTGCTGTTGCTACTGACTTTGACAGACGATGCGTAACGCACACTAGTGCGGCAATTCACATTTAGCGATTGTTTGCTATATGTATGCATGTGAATCGTTTACCCATTTCAAAATCAAATAACAAACAACAAAAGGTGAACAAAAAACAAACAAAATGCAAAACTTTACAAACAAATGCACCTGCACCGCTCGAAATTGGCCAAAATGGAGAACACACATTACGATTCTAAGATGATTCATTCGAATTATATGCACTAATACTAGACGAAATCAAAGATTTGGAACATGACCAGAAAAAAACATATTGCCGTATTTGAAACGAATGTGCTCTGATTTGAATAAAATAGTTTTTTTTTTCAACGAAATAGTATTTCTTTTATTTTTAAAGGAGGAATGTGACCTATTTTCTATCAAAAAATACAAGGAATTTGGATTCTGCAAAGAAAAAAGAAATATAGTTTTCTGTGATGATTTCAAGTTAAATTAGGCCGGTGTATTTATAGAAAATTTTCGATTTTCGTAGGATTTCAATATTTTGAGTCTAGTAACAAAAAATCGGATACGAAATGTTGAGGAAAGAATTATATTTTTTAAAGGTGTTAAGAAAGATGTTCATACGAAATGGTTGAAATAGGGAATTTGCAATGATTAAATTTCCACAAAGAATCGAATATAGATGTCACGATACACCGCTAGATGGCACCGGTACTTTGACAATTTGATGGCGCTGTAAATTCGCCGCAAAAAAATAAATTCGCTTCATTCGTTCGCCATTACTAAGCGGTGTGTTCTTGTCACTTTGTGCCTCTTTCTTTCTTTTCCTGTTGTCAAAGGTACGACTCGTAGTGAATTTTTTTAAAGTCCGTAAAAAATCGCAAATATTCCTGATCATCCGTGGTTAATTCTTATATTAATTGCAATATTTCGATTCTTTGTTTTCAGGCAAATTCATTAAACATGTCGGACGTTGAAGTGTAAGTGTATTTATTGGTGATTTTTTCAAAAAATAAAAATCTTCCGACTTTGGTTTGGATATGAACATTCGTTCCATTCGGCTTGGATTTGTTGTTGTGAACAATGTTGACTGAATGTAAAGTCCAAAATTAAAAAAAAAATGTTTACAATACAATACTTTCCAGCGTGGAATGAAATATCCATTAAAAATATTTCCCGCGAAACGAATCATGAACGAAACATTTTTTTTGGTTATATACTTATTGTTTAATAACAATGTGTTTTCATTACAGTGAAACTCCAGCTGCCCCAGTTGCTGGTGGCCCAATGGACATTAACACAGCTTTGCAAGAAGTTTTGAAGAAGGCCCTCATTGCCAACGGTTTGGTACGTGGCATTCATCAAGCATGCAAAGCTCTTGACATGTAAGTTATTCATCTTGAACGTTACAAAACGATGACACAATTGAGTCCACTACTAACATCTTGTCCTTTGTGCCACAGTCGTCAAGCTGTTTTAGCTATTTTGGCTGAAAGCTGCGAAGAGCCACAATACAAAAAATTGATCACTGCTTTGTGCAACGAACATCAAATTCCATTGATTCGTGTTGATTCAAACAAAAAATTGGGCGAATGGAGCGGTTTGTGCAAAATCGACAAAGAAGGTAAACCACGTAAGGTTTGCGGTTGCTCCGTCGTTGTCATCAAGGTAAGAGAATCATATACGATAAATTCGATTATCGAAAGCCTTATTTATTTACTTTATCTAATTTATGTTTTTCTTATCTTGTTTGCAGGACTTTGGAGAAGAAACTCCAGCTTTGGATGTCGTTAAGGAACATCTCCGCAATCAAAGCTAAATCACAATCTTTTTATGATCATTAGAAATAATGGCATGTGTGTAACTTCTTCATTAAAACCGTTTTGAAAGAGAAAAAAGGAGACAAAAAATACGCAACGTCTTTTTATTCAAGTGTAATCAATGATTGATTGTGTGACCAATTAGTTTTGTGAATGAAATCGTGTGATTGGATTGAAATATTTCGAAATTTTGTCATTTATAGACAAATTTACTTACCTGAGACTAATCCACGAGTTTCGTTTACTTTTTGATTCGGCTTTTTTTTTTAGATAAGTTTCACGTGAACCACAAGAGGCAAGTATTGTAGAGTCATTCAAGTGCTTCATATATAAACATTGCGGAGGTTATGTTTACTCTCGTGTTGGACAAATTCTTTTAATTTTGATATTCAATGTTTGGGCCTAAATTTGGTAGAATAAGAATTAGACAGGAAACATTCATTGGCAAAAAATGCAGTTGATTTGGATGGAAAATGATAATATGCAGACAAATAAAAGTTCCGAAAGCATTCATGATCAACCCTGTGACCAAGCTTACACTTATGTCAAAACTTCATACTATGATATACACGTGGTTTGTCAATACTATACAACTAACGTCGCATACGATTCGAGAATTCGTAGAATTTAAATGAATTTTAAAACTTTTATTTTTTAGCGGATTTTTCAATTTTTACTTTGAAAAAAAAAATCATTCTAAAATGGAAATATTTTTTTTTATTTTGATTAAATAAGACCCGTAAACAATTAAACAGTTCTTTTTTATCTTTTTATTTAACAGTTTGCTATAAAATTCGTGATCATTAAAAAACAACTAAATTTATATATAAAAAAAATCCATAGAGCATCATCTAATAGAATATTCGAATTTATTTGAAATAAAAATGCTGAATTTTACAATTTTCCATAACGCTTTTGACCATTGAATGATTTAAATAAAATGTCTCATGTTTACAACATATATAAATATGAAAAGGCAACATTCATATAATGAAACATGAATAAAATGGGTATGAGCACCGTCAACACAAAAATTCAATTCCTTTTTGAAAGGAAATGGTGCACCGACAATATCCAAAATCTAATAATCCTCTACCAATTTTGTGTAAATCCCTTATTTATAAATACATAAAAAAATCTCAAAAAAAAACTCAGGCTTTTTTTCGAATTTCATTCTGAGCACACTCCATAACTGTTAATGCGCCCTTTTCAATTAAATTCGATGCTAAATCTTTGCCAAGTTGTTCGCATTTTTCGAATACGTCCAATGGCCAATAACGATGTGGATAAAGTCCACAAAATAGTTGTTCATTGATTTCATTTTCATTTGATAAATTATCTATCGTTGAGGTAGTGGTTTGACTTGAGCTAGGTGTGGCTGATAAAAATGGACATTTTTTAATATCCACATTTGTATTGGTACAATGTTCCTTCGATGGTGCATCATTTTTGCTGGCACAGCCACTTTTATACGGACAACTGCCGCATGAGCTAGACGTTTTGGTAAGACTCTCGATCGAATCAAAATACGGACACTGACCCATTACATCTTGTCCGATGGAAAAATCCAATGGACATTTCAATGGTTCGCCACTTGAATCAGTGTTTTGATTTTGTTTATCGGTTTTATTTTGTACTAATGATGAGTATGGGCACTTTTTAAATGCATCATTGTGCACATTCAATAGTCCGGCAATATCAAGATTATGATTTGAATCCGATAAATTTGATGCATTAAAATTGATTTGTGAATGATCAACAATTTGTGGTGGACTTGGATTATCACCACTAAGCTCATTATTATCGTCTCCAACATTAATGGAAAGTTTCATCTTTTTGGTTGGCACTACATCCTCTTCCACTTCTTCCGATTCTTTTTGAGTGTTTATGTTCAAATTGCACGATGTTTCTGCTTGAATTTGAGTTTTTCCGTTTAAACTCCAAACCGAACCAATAATTCGAAGCTCATATTCATTGTCTGAGCGTATTTCAGTGTCATTAATATGTTTTCGTTTTGATAGAATAGAATCAACCGCTACTGGAGCACTGCAACCACCGCCCAATGTTTTTAGAAAACTTCGTTCGGCTAAAATGCGACATTGCGTTTCGTGGCATACCAACTTTTGAAGCATCGCCAAGATTTTCGTATCCGATGATCGACATTCCACCGCCAAAGCACCTTGACCCACTGCATACAACAGTTCACTCGGTTCAATCGTTTGAGTAATACGATGTTCCCAATTCAAGCGCACAAGACCAGCCTGTGCCAATATGATTCCTGCATATTTTGAGTCTTCTGCATCCAATTTTGCTAAACGAGTATTCAAATTACCGCGTATATCTTCCACCTTCAAATGGGGATACAAACGTGATATTTGCGCTGTTCGACGCAACGACGACGTGCCTGAAATTGGATTTCAAAGAATTTAATTCCATTTTTTTTTTCATTTAATTTATAAGGTTTTTACCAATGATAGACCCTTGTGGTAATGTCTTCAAACATTTTCCTGCATGTTGTTTTGCCAAAACCAAAGCATCTCGAGCATCTTCACGCTTCAGCACGGCACCGATTGCCATACCATCTGGTAATGCGGTTGGTAAATCTTTTAGTGAATGCACAACAAAATCAACAGTACCATTTTTAAGCGCATCTTCCAAATCTTTTGTAAACAGAGACTTTTCACCAATTTTCGGTAGTGATATATTTAACACTCGATCGCCAACAGTTGTCATTTTATCTACACGAAAAAAATACGAAATTTTATCGAATAATTATGAAAAGAGACCTTGATTTTATTTTCTCGAATTAACTTACGTATTTCAAATTTTTGCTGAGGATAGAGGCTTTTAAGCAACGAAATAACATGTCTGGTTTGTACAAGGGCGAGCTGAAAATCATACAGAATTATTAAATGATGAATAATTGAACTTAAAATGAATGGTTATTTAGTCAAATTTCACGATTGCATGACTAAATCACTTGATGATATTACAAAACAAGCAAATGTGTCGTGATAAAGCAGATTTTTTTATTTATAGTTTTGAAACCGGTTTAAGAACAAATCACATTTGTTGCAAAGCAGTTGCAAGTGATAATCTAAAAGAATGGAATTTGTGAACTTACTTCGCTTTTTCGTGAGCCGACTCGTATCACTTTCGAATCGGCGGTGTCCGTTTTTGAACCATTATTGTCTTGTAAATCTTTGCTTGTTATTGAATTGTCTGTTGAGCTCATTTTTGATGATATCACTCACGATGTACCTTTTAGGAAATGAAAATCTTATTGCTTTATCTATATAAACGAGGTGCAATATTAATTTTAAAAAGTGTATGCGTTGCAAATGGTGGTTTTTTGATAATTCATATGTGCAAGGTATGCATGATAACTAATGGTTAAAAAAATTTAACCCAGAGTCATAAACAAGTCTTAATGTTAAATGACAATGTCTTACGCTCAAGAGATTGCCGTACGATTAATGGCATAAAATAGATGACTAGACAATTAGTGAATACTTTCTAAAATGTACATAACATAAACGAACCACGAAGACTGTGTGAGATTGTGTGTATTTGGCCATTGACGACACACACACACACACGCATACATCAACAATAATGAAGTGCTGGAAGCACACTGAAGTGGATGTCAATTGAATTGTATTTTATATGTTTTAAATGAATTGAATAGCACATCACCCCTTTGGTTGTAATTTTAATATTTGACTTGTGTTCGATTGCAATAACGAAATGACTGTAGTAACGAATTGATTGAGGAAAGAATGACAAAAAGTATTTATGATAATTAAAGTGTTAATGTTTTAGGCTTAATGCATTTTTAATATGACCGGACGAGGTCTTGTCTGATCGAGACGAGAATTGAACAACCAGTTGTGATCAGTTCTTCGTTTGAAGTCGCTGTGTATACTCACTTGTTCTATTTGTGAAACAGAATTGGTAAATGAAAAATTGTCACTTCACAAGGTTCAGTCTTAGTTGAATGTCCTAATTCGATTTATTTTATTCCTTTTTTTCGATTTGATAGAAAAATTGGTGCAATCGATCCGATACATTCGATGTGAGCCTTTTTTTTTTAAATTGTGTAACCACGTCGCGTGCACACTCACACGGCATAACGTTATCACACACACTGTACACCTATTTCGTATTGATCAACCGACGAACTCTCAGCTGAATAAACTTTTACAATTTCATGTGGTCGCATGACACGGTAACGCATGCTTTTATAACCATCATGTGTTGTTTATACGGTACTCCGTTGCGCATAATGGAAACGCAATCGAATGAATGCGAAAAGTGCGTTCAATCATATTTCACTTGTGTTGGACCGCAATTGCTTGATGATTGTTTTTTATTTATTTCATTTTGTACCATATTCGCCGAAAATAAACAATACAAAATTTCCACACATAAAAAAAGTGTCAACATGATAAAACCAGAAAATGTTAAAAAGTAATGCGCAATTGAAATTTTGAGTTTTGTTTGGCGCTCGACCGTCTGTCACGAGTTACAGATGATACACATATGTATGTTAACTTTGACATTTGACAATACACAGTTCTCAATGTGTATATAATATCCGAATTTTTTATATCACACTTATTGACTGTCAGTCGATGGTATTTCAACTGAATTTCTATTCTAAAACTGTCATTGTATTCTCAATATTTCTGTGATTGTATGCGTTACAACTACGAAAATTCTAATGTGAGAGAGTCTTATGCGTGACAAATACGAGCAACATTCGAGTGTGAAATAATAAAACACGGAAACATTCATTTTATTCTATAAAAATTTAAACAGTGAATTGTTGAAATAAACTCTTGGTGCGGATATTAGGTGATTCCATCATGAGTGCTCTGATTCGATTTTCTCACGTTTTTAGCAAAAATGCTAAATCAATGGTAAATACCATAGCCAAATTATATATTTTATTTCACTTCAGTGCAATAGATTTGTTTTCGGGAAGTTTCATCGTGCTTACATATCATACGACGATTATCTTATGTGCACACATTATGTAACCGAATCGGATGCGATTTTTTCTACGTTCAATTATATTTTGAGTCTTTTTTATTTGGATAAAAAGCAATCATTTCGTGTGGTTTGACTTTATTGTTGTTAAATTTTTTAAAGTTTTAATTTGTTCATTATTGATTTTAAATACATGGCATAAATGTGTTGCCTAATGTTTTTATTTTTCTCTGTAACAGATCAATGCTAGTGCAATCGGTGCCAAGAGTTTACATTATTCTGCTGGTCAACACAATGCAAAAGTTTCAAATGATGCCATTTCCAAGGAGTATAAAGTTGTTGACCATGCTTTTGATGCAATCGTTGTTGGTGCTGGTATGTTTATTGTGAACATTTTTTCTCTCGAATAAAAGTGTTTCAACTTTTTTACGTTTCCAAATTGGGATTATATAGGCGGTGCCGGTTTGAGAGCTGCTTTTGGATTGGTTGCTGAAGGCTTTAAAACTGCCGTCATCACGAAATTGTTCCCAACTCGTTCACACACAATTGCTGCTCAGGGTAAATATACAGGACTTTTTCTGACATTTTTTCCCCTACACTTATTTTCGTTGGAGTTTTTCTGCTTTGATTTTGTGCATGAAATCGTAATTTTTGAAAGTGAAATAGAAACAAATGTGCCTTTTTAAATTGTTAGGTGGTATAAATGCTGCATTGGGTAATATGGAACCAGATGATTGGAAATTTCATTGTTATGATACAGTGAAAGGATCCGATTGGCTTGGCGATCAAGATGCCATTCATTATATGACCCGTGAAGCACCAAAGGCTGTCATCGAATTGGAGAACTATGGTATGCCATTTTCACGTACGAAAGAAGGTAAAATTTATCAACGTGCATTCGGTGGTCAGAGTTACAATTATGGTAAAGGTGGACAAGCACATAGATGCTGTGCTGTGGCTGACAGAACTGGACACTCGCTCTTGCATACATTGTACGGTCAATCATTGAACTACGACTGTCACTATTTCATTGAATATTTCGCTCTCGATTTATTGATGGAAAATGGTAAATGTGTTGGTGTCATTGCTATCTGTCTTGAAGATGGATCAATTCATCGGTAAGTTTATATACGAATTTCTTATGTATAAAAATTAATTAAATGGTTTTTTAAAAGCAAACATAAAATCTGACATTTTTCGATTTCACAGATTCCGAGCAAACAGCACAGTTTTGGCGACAGGCGGCTATGGTCGTGCATATTTCTCATGTACATCAGCTCACACCTGTACTGGTGACGGAACAGCCATGGTTGCTCGACAAAATTTGCCATGCGAAGATCTGGAGTTCGTGCAATTCCATCCGACTGGAATCTATGGGGCTGGATGTTTAATAACTGAAGGTTGCCGCGGTGAAGGTGGTTACTTAGTCAATGCAAAAGGTGAACGTTTCATGGAACGATATGCACCAGTTGCTAAAGATTTGGCATCACGTGACGTTGTTTCGCGTGCAATGACATTGGAAATTCGTGATGGTCGTGGCGTTGGACCACTTGCCGATCATGTACATTTGCAATTGCATCACTTACCTGCTGAACAATTGGCACAACGTTTGCCCGGCATCTCAGAAACAGCTATGATTTTTGCCGGTGTTGATGTGACACGTGAACCAATTCCAGTTTTACCAACTGTACATTATAATATGGGTGGTGTGCCGACAAATTGGAGAGGTGAATGTTTAACCACTGATAACAAGGGAAACGATGTTATTATTGAGGGTTTGTATGCGGCCGGTGAGGCTGGTTGTTCCTCGGTGCATGGTGCTAATCGATTGGGTGCCAATTCATTGCTCGATTTGGTTGTATTTGGACGTGGTTGTGCTAAAACAATTGCAGCTAAACATAGGCCAGGAGAAAAAGTACCTGAACTACCTGACAACGCTGGTGAATCTTCTGTGGACAATTTGGATCATTTGTTGCACAAAACTGGTACCGTTTCAACGGCTGAATTGCGTTTGAAAATGCAACGAACGATGCAAGCGCATGCTGCTGTATTCCGTGATGGGCCTGTACTTCAAGAGGGATGCAAGAAAATGTCCGAAGTTTTCAAAGAATTTGCTGACGTTAAAGTTACCGACAAGTACGTTCACAATTGTTTTAGAGAACAAAGAACTTTGTTGAATATTTTGAATTATAAATTTTATTTGATGTGTTTTATCTTTTGTACAGATCGCTCGTCTGGAATTCAGATTTAATTGAAACATTAGAATTACAAAATCTTTTGCTAAATGCTTTAATGACTATATACAGTGCTGAAAATCGTAAAGAATCTCGTGGCGCACACGCTCGTGAAGATTTTAAGATACGTATAGATGAATACGTAAGTGGAATTTTGCTTTAAAACAATTTGCTTCAATGTTATTTTAATTTTCATTGGGCATTCTCTTTTGCAGGACTATTCGAAACCACTTGAAGGTCAACAAAAGAAACCGGTCGAAGAACATTGGCGCAAACACACACTTTCCTGGATTAATGAGTCAGGAGATGTTAACATTAAATATAGGCCAGTTATCGATAAGACACTCGACGATGAAATGCACACGGTGCCGCCAGCCATTCGTTCTTACTAAAACAATTGAATCGAAATTTTATTTGCCGCTAATGTACTTTTGATCTTTTCCATTTTCTTTGATATTGTTTTCTTTACAAACCAATATGAAAACTGCATCACATTTTCTAGAGAACTAGTGACCAATTGGTTTTACTTTTCGAGAAAAAAAATTGTGTCCAATAAATAGCGAAACTCGTTTCCAACTGCATCAAAGATTTTTGTTTCCATTTTATTATTTTACCATTTTATTTTATAATTCCCAACACAAATACCTTTTCGATTTGGTGGCTGAAGATGAAATGAGGAAATATGTTTAAACTTGATACATACATTTGTTTTAATGTTATTTCGTGTTTATAATGTAAACAAATAAACAATACGGATTTCTTTAGAACATGATTTATTACAGTTTTTTATTAAATGATATTTTTGCTTCATGATACAATTCCATACGAAATTGTCCGAAATGTAAAACAATATACCAATTGATTTGTATATTTAAATATCACATATTTTTTTATTTGAATCATGATTTTTTCTTATTCTTTGCGCTCAAATGAATATTACTAAATCTCCTTTCACATTGTTTTTCAATTGAACAAAATATTTTTCGAATTAAAGTACAATGTGACTTCCGTTAGCTTCATTTTGTTTGGAAAACATTTAAGATTGCATATTCCAACAAGAAACACGTAAGCAAACTATGACGACGATGAATATCAAAAGTCTTAACATTTCATTCGAATGCAAAAACAAAATGATGATTAAAAGAATTTTTCAGCTTCTTCCAAAACATGTTGTCAGGACATTAGATATGTTTTAGATCTTCAATCGAATTTTATTTGAATTTACCTCTTTCAATAATTGTTTTTCTTCCTTAATTCACAAAAATCCAAATGTTAAAATTGCTATTTAAACTATCACGAGAAAATGTTCATCTTTTTGAAGCAAAAGTACCTAATGAATGTGTCTGATGCAAACAAACAGCGCGGATCCATTCACTGTAAACTAAATTGAAACAATAGTTTATATTACATTAATAAGAAACAGTTCACTCGACGTTGCATTTGTAGGGTTTTTTCTCTCTCTATTTTGATAACAATGCCTTTACATTTCCTGTATGCAAATATTCATCCTTATCACTGTGAATGATAAAGAAATAAGAACGAAAAGCAAGTATGTAAATAGGTGCTTGTATTTTTCCTTTATTTGTTCCTCTGTTTTTTTTTTTTTGTATTTCTCTTATACATTTAAAAATATGATTTTTTTTGCCATTTGACAGTAGAATGATTCAAGGTAATTAAGCCATGCAAAATTATTTCTTAACATAAAATGCACAAATATCTTTGATTTTTCCTCCAGACAAAATGTTCTGAAGAATACTTTGTTTATATCCCTATCGAGTCTCTTTTTTTCATTTGTTTCAAAATCCATTTCCACATTTTTCTATTTAATTGAATAGCTAAAGCTTATTGACCAATTGCAATGCCATCCATTCGTTTGAGAAAGCAATTGAAAGCAAAAAAAAAAAAACTATCGAATTCCTTTTAAATTCAAGAGAACTGAAACGAATGAACGAACGAACGAACAAAAAAACCCGACTCAATTGCTTTTTTATAATTTTTATACTAAATGTGGCTAATTCAATTGCTCCAAATTGTAAGCATGATGAAAGATGAGGGCGCCAAGGCAAAAGCAAATAATAAGTATAATATGTGGGAAACCGCCATTATCATCAATGTTTCCAGCTGAACTTCGGTTTCGTATGCCATTTACAACATCTTCCGTCGTTTCATCGGTATTCGTTGTATTTGATGCGGCGACTGCTTTCAATTTGGCTTCGTTTGATTCGCGTTCCGCAAGTCGTTGTTTGATTTCTTTGCACAAATCGGGAAATAATGTCGTAAAATTATGATCCTTGAGATTGTATTGCAATGAATCGTATGCAAATTGAAGTTTTTCTCTACGCGATGTAACCATTGTTCCCAATGCCGAACTCTCCTCCAACATAAAGCTAAGCAAACCGGTTAAAATGCTCGATACACTCCAGGCTGGATTCCATTCATCCGGATGATAATCCGATATGCTGAGACAAAGTCGTCGATTCGTTTGAAATCGTCCGTTTGGCGTTCGCATATAAATCGATGGCGGCTTAAATGGATATTGCTGTGTAAATACTAAGCTTCCATGAAACATGCCGCCGTAGTATGGGCTATTTTCGGGGCCATTTATCACATAATGCCATTCAAGAATGTTCCATGGTAATGGTTCGGCACGTATGTACGGCACTGGATCTTTGTTTAAATTTATGTAATCCTGTTGCAAACGTAATACAGCACCGCGATTTCGTCCCATCACTTGTGTTTTCGTGATCGGTTTAGTGGGCTTGTCGTTTTTTATTGTTTTGGCATTGTTGTTTTCATTTTTTGTCGTTTCCATTTCGCTTAATCTTTCCACCTGAAACGTATGAAAACAAATTCAATGTCAACTTTTTGTTTTATACAAACAAACACCGTTGAAATTACAAAAAAAGAAAACAAAATATTTTCGCTATTTTTCGTTTTTTCTTTTTTTAATTAAACAGACAAAATGAAATAAATCACATGAAATTGTGTCTGTACGCAAAATATATGCAATGAGCGCGACCAACAGTGTTCTGTTTTAGTCACCTGTTTTGACATTTATGTACACATCAGTTTTCAAATGGACACGTAAACGATTAATATTTTTATTTTTATTTCTACCAATAATAATGAAATGTGTACTGTGTACTGTGTGTGTGTGCTCGACGGATCGCGCAATATGAACTATATGTATTTGAATATGATGATGGATAGAATAAATGAAATCCTTACAGCTGATTTGCCCTTCATACACTACACACTCACACAAATTCGCAAATGTCGACGTTTTAAGTTTTGTGACTATATTGTTACTATTGAAATGAAACGAAAAAGTACGAATCACAATTTTGTTTTTTTTAACGACGTAATCTTTTGTTACAATCGATGAAATTTCTTTCATCAACCATTCAACAACAAATTTACTGTCATTGTTTTACAAATATTTCGAAAACATTTACAAAACCATTTATTTACACACCAATTTACAGACGATTTTATTTACTTTTAATTAAAGTTATCACATCTGGAAAAAAAATGTACAGAATAATGAAGAAAATTACTTGTGTGTAATTTGATTTTATACTTGGTATCAGTCACAATTTGTATGTTTTGATTTTCAACGCACACAACCATGAGCCAAACCAAATCTATCTCTTTTCCACCGCTATAGCGATCGAACATGTGTTTGTGTTGATTTGTTAGAGTGTGTGTGAATGACATGAGACTCTGTGAATCATTTGATTCGCAATAATATATACGCACCGTCATATAGACATGATGTTTATACGTTTGTCCACCAATTTTATATCCGAAAGGAAAGAAAGAGAAAAAAAAACACAATCATTTAATAAAAATTAAATGTTATGAATTATTCAAAGATCTAGAAATTCATTGTAGCGCTGAGATGGACGATGTCGTCACCGGCTGTTTTGATTTTCATTCGCGGATTAGAGTTGTTCAAAATCAAATTCGAATATGATCGAAATGACGTAATTTTTTTTGAAAAAAAAAAAAAACTTGCTACAAAAACAATTGAATTACACATGAAATTCTTAAAATGTTACGCTAAATTTCTTTCCATTTGGTTCATCAAATGAAAGCGTAAAAGATGTCGACTCTATATTATCGATATTTATTGTGTCATTGAATGAATTCACTGTGGAATTGAATGGGATATGAGATCATTTGGCGAATATATCGGCGAAAGAATGTGTGTGAACAAGTGGCGCCACTCATATTTCCATATATATTTTCGCGTGTTTATGTCTTATGATTGTATGTACGCGCGCGGGTGTGTGTGTGTATAGTGAATTTGTATCTGTCAAAGCACGCTGTTTTTGAAATATATACGAAGTAGGCAGCCATTCGGTGGGGCGAAATCGAAATATTAACTCTCGTTGATTGACTTGAGTGAAGTTGCTGTATGTTATACGGGCAACACACAAAAATGTCGTGTTAATTGTTAAAAGGAAAAGTAAGTTCCACGAGAAAGCACACATACATTACGGACATTAGGTACATTTATACCTATAGTGTCAAATTGAAGAGAAGTGAAGAGAGAATATAAAAGTAAAAACGATTTTAATACAAAGTGATTATAAAACGAAATTGAAATAACCAACGAATAACCGATTGTATTTTAAAAAATTTAACAAAATAAAAACTAATTCGTAGTTTTAAAACCGCAAAATGGCCGATCCGCAAGGAAAAAATCGCTTGCAAGAATTTAAATACAAAGGCAAAGATCAAGATGTAAGTAGATACAAAAAAAAAATACAATAATAAATATTGTTAGTGTAAAGGAAACAACAAAAAAAATGTTTCATCGCGATCAGTACCATGGAAATCGACCAAAATTTAATCAACACATATTTTTCTAACAAAACGATAGAGAAAGAGTCATATGAGAAGAAGAAAAAAAATCGAATTGAGTATGGTATTAAGTTCTTTTTTTATTGTGTGTGGCAAATGGCATCTAGAATTGCGACCAAATCAGAAAAAAAAATTGGTGGCAGAAATATTCCATTGTTTTTTTTGGCCATCGATTTATCTTCTCGAAAGTGCAACATCAACATTTTCTATTGCCCTCAGAAATATCAAACAGATTTCAAATTGAATGATGGAAATGATTTCGACGACATAAATGGAAAAGACATACAGAGAGAGAGAAAGAGAAAAAGCAGATTCAGAAACACTGCGATGTATATAAATTCTTTGTGGTAGAGCGTTTCACGAGGATGAAAGAGAGGCGATTCATGTTAATGTGTTTGTGATTTACGAGACAAGAGCAGGGCAATCGCGGCACGCACTCATACATAGACATACGCACACTCAAAATATACACAAAAACACACACCGAACAAATTCGTCAGCAGCAGCAGCAGCACACCGTATATTCTATTAAATGCACGCCTCGGAACAACCTAGACACAATCGGCAATTGAAAGTGTGCGATTTAGTTTTATTTTTCGTTTTTTTTCACTCGGTTTCTATCTGTCACCGTCTCTTTCTCTCTCTACCAGTCAAATGACAAAGAAATCATTTTCATTGAAACAGTGTGTGATCAAACGATTCATTGTTGTTGTTGCCACTGCCGATTTTGATGTTGTAAAAATTGCTATATGAAATTGTCTTGCGACCCAAGTCGTATGAATCAAAATATATATGTATAATTGTAGAAAAGAAAATTGTATCTCTATACAGATACCACAAATCACAGCGATTTTGGTCGGACTTTTTTAGGTGTTTTCGTAAAATAGATTGAATGATCTATTGGTAATTTGATTATCGGCGTTCGATTGAGTTTGGCCGAAACCAAAGTCAAAACGTCCCGCAAAATTTCCTTTTTTCATTGATTTGCTCTTTGATTGCACGTGGTTTTTTTCTAAATAGCCATTCAATCGATACTTGCACACTTCAAATCGATGCATTTTTTTCGTATTGTGAGAAACGATAAAGCTGTTGCACATTTTTTCAAATCGAATACATCCGCTTTTTGTTTCATTGATGTTTATAAGTATATTTGCATTCGATCATCAATCATGTGTGAATGGTTATGGGAGTTTTCAGCAATGACGACGCAAATATAAATTTTCCTTTTCGATTTATCGAAACAGAAACATCTGCCAAATATAGAAATAGAAAGTTATTTGAGGAAAATTGCATGTGAGAGAATATTTGCTGTACTGTTTTGAACGATTGACTGCACTGTGGCTTGCGTGAGATGTATGCAGCGAATGATAAAGAAAATAAAACGACCAAAACAAAAATGACATGCACATACATACACACTAAGAAGGAAGAGAGAGACAAAGAAAAAACAACAAATACGCGATCCAGTCATCAGCGAAAATGCGAGAAGAATGTGGACAAGAGCATTTAGAAATGAAAATGCAATGACATAGGCTCTAGCAATGGTCAAATGATAATAATAGTAATACGATGCAAAGCGAATAAAAAAAATGAGAATAATAACAACGAAATGAAAACGACTCAACTGTTTGTTTCTTTGATCGATGATATGCAAGTGTATTTGTGTGCCGAGTTTATCTCTGTTATAATATTGGGAAATTGACCGAAACAAGTTTTTACCACTCACAATACAACACAAATATACGCATTCCACACAAGGCACAACATCAAGTGCCACAGGTTTTAAAAAAAAGAACTAATTGCAATCGACGGCGATTGAGATTTCGTTGGCGGTGACTGGATTTGTTGGTATTTTGATATCGACAAGTTTCACTTCTTTTTCTCTCTTCTCCTCTCGCTCTCCATTTCTTTTCTCTTCTTTTATTTTAACTATGACCGATTACTGCTTTCAAGGGCATTATCAAAATAATTTATAGGGCACACAAATCATCAATATACAATGGTTGTATGTGATTCAAGATACATTCCAAAGTCAAGAAGTTTTTGCAAATCAAATTTCATTGTCATACACATATTGCTTGCCGAATTCGCCAAAAAACAAAAACATATTATTCTAAAAATGTATGTGTTTATATGCGCTCCAAAAACAAAACAATAATCATTTTAAATATCAATTTGTCGACTGTTTTGTTCTCATCAATTTTATAATTGCGTCATAATTTGAAACAGAAATCTCGATTAACGACGCAAAAAAATATCAAATGACTTCTCTGTCTCTATGAAATTTGTGTGAGAAAAATTCTATTATGTTATACTACATGGTCGATTGGTTTCTGCCTTGTTCAATTTTACTAACGACGTATATTCTTTTCTTTTTTTTATTTCGCATTGTCATATTAATGATATAGGAGATGCGAAGAAGACGTAATGAAGTGACAGTGGAACTACGTAAAAATAAGCGTGAGGAAACGATTTTGAAGCGTCGTAACGTGCCCGACTCTACCGACGAAGATGATTCGGTCAATTCAGTGAATTTGGGTAAGTTTCGTTGGACCACAGAATAAAATTTAAATAAAACATTTACTGAATATTATGAATTAATTTCGTTATTATTATTTTGAATTCGGTTGTCATTTGTTGGGTCTATGTATAGCAAAATTAGTGGAGAATGCTGGTGACGCTAGCGATCCGGAAAAGCAATTAGCAGCTGTGCAAGCTGCACGAAAATTATTGTCATCCGATCGTAATCCGCCCATCGATGATTTGATAAGCAGTGGCATTTTACCAATCCTCGTGGAATGTTTAAAGCACAAAGAGAACACAATTCTACAATTTGAAGCGGCTTGGGCACTCACAAACATTGCATCAGGCACATCAATGCAAACGAATCAGGTGGTTGCAGCGGGTGCGGTACCATTGTTTCTCGAATTACTCAGTTCACCATCGCCGAGTGTATGCGAACAGGCGGTATGGGCGCTAGGTAATATTATCGGTGATGGTCCACATTTGCGTGACTATGTAATTAAACATGGTGTGGTGCAACCATTGTTATCGTTCATCAAACCCGATATACCAATTTCATTTTTGCGTAATGTCACATGGGTTATTGTGAATTTGTGTCGAAACAAAGAGCCACCACCACCAACAGAAACCATACAAGACATTTTACCGGCACTCAATCATTTGATTTATCACACGGATGTCAATATATTGGTTGATACGGTATGGGCATTAAGCTATTTAACCGATGGTGGTAACGATCAAATTCAAATGGTCATCGAAAGTGGTGTTGTACCGAAGCTAATCCCATTGATTGCTCATGTTGAGGTGAAAGTTCAAACAGCTGCGCTACGTGCCGTTGGCAATATTGTAACCGGTTCGGATGAACAAACACAAGTAGTACTCAATTGCGATGCGTTGTCCTATTTCCCAGCATTATTGAGCCATCCGAAAGAGAAAATTCGAAAAGAAGCCGTTTGGTTTTTGTCAAATATCACGGCTGGCAATCAGTCGCAGGTACAAGCGGTCATCGATGCCGGTCTCCTGCCAAAAATCATAGACAACTTAAGTCACGGCGAATTTCAAACGCAAAAAGAAGCCGCATGGGCCATTAGTAACCTAACAATCAGCGGAAATCGAGAACAAGTTGCACAATTGATTAAAGACAACGCAATACCACCATTCTGTAATTTATTAACATGTAAAGATACACAAGTGATTAATGTAAGTATTTTTACGTCAAATACATGTCCATTAATAAGAGAAAATTAACCATATCTCTCTATTTTCGATTCAGGTTGTTCTTGATGGTATCAATAACATGCTGAAGATGGCTGGTCCGCACGTAGTCCAAATTGCAAATATGATCGAAGAATGTGATGGAATGACGAAAATCGAAGAATTGCAAAATCACGAAAACGTTGATATTTACAAATTAGCCTATGACATAATAGAACAATTCTTTTCCGACGAAGTAAGTGAACATGCATTTCTTTTTTCTTTTTTTTGTATTTATTTAAAATGGCTATTGTTAACAGAATTATGTATTAACCCTTGTTTTCGTTACGATTTACTTATTATCACAGGCGGATGATGCAAATTTGGCGCCAGCAGCAGACGAAAACGCATTTCAATTCAATCAAACGTCTGATATACCAAACGAAGGATTCAAGTTCTAATACAAAAATCATGTTTACAAAAACGGCATTCAAATTCTCATCGATATCAACGTCAGTAGCAGCAGCAGTAACAATAATAACAACATGAATACACAGGAGATCAAACGTTTGTTAAACATACAATAGAAAATGAATGATGAATACTAAATAAATCCAAAATCCGCAAACTTACATGCAAACATCAACAGCGACATAAACAGTATGCCGCCATCAACCCAACAGACAACCACAACAACAAGCAAAACAATTAATGCAAAGCAGAAAGAAGGAAAATAATTCTTTTTAAAGCAATTTATCCAAAAATGGTTTTTAATATGATAGACTTTCCGATTAAATGCGATTTTTTAAAAGCTCTCCCAAATGAAAAAAAAAAACACAAAAACACAAATTTAAAACAAACGATCCATCTTCTTCTCTTTTAATTTATAGCTATATCCATTAAATCGAATAAAATAGATAGAGAGAAATAGAACGTTTTCTCCTCGACCAGAGATATAATTCGCAAATCGTAGGAAAGATGAAGAATGCAAATAAAATCTTAATCTCGCAAGCAATAGTTAATTTTCAATGAACAAATAAAACAAAGAATAAAAATGAAAAAGAAACACACACAAATGTTGTACATCCAAAACATCTCTAGAACAATAGAAACATTGAAAAAATAAATCGAAAAAACGAAAATCTATGAAACAATAAAGGAAATGATTATATATATATATATCTTTATATAGAGTACATAGAAAATGTAATTGAGTAAAAATTTAAACTAAATTAAATAAAAAAAACACACAAAATGAACGAAAGACACAACAGCAATGGATGAAAAGGAAAACTACAAATCAGCTTGATTGTACGACTTACAATTGAATGAGAGAAAGAGAGAGAGATTCAATCGAAGCCTCGACAAATATAGAAAATAAAAAGGACAGCGCCACTCAATGGCGCTGATTTTGCGGCCACGTAATTGCTTCAAATTCGACAACTCAATTGCTTGATACAGATTGATCCAACGAGATCCGTAACAAAAATGAAACAAAAAGGAAACGTTTAAACTTATCAAAAAAAAAGGAAAATAAAATGGAAAATTTCTAATTTTTCAGAATAAACGAAGCGTTTTAATTCAACTCGAAATTTCAAGGTGTTTCATTCACGTTCTATTCATGGCCAAAGTTTTGTCTTATTTATCAAACATTTCTTGAATGTCATTCATAAAAAATGCATTTGAAAATGTGAATTTTTGTCTTCTTGCTATAATATTGAATCATAGGAAATAAATTAATTTTTTCATTATTTAAAATCATTTATTTAATTTTCGTTTTAGATTCGAATCGACTATGGACAATGTATAGAGAAAAAAAATTTGAAAAGAAAAAATTTACAATTTATGATTTATGAATGATGTTTTTCTATTCACTAAAATCATTATCCATTTTCACATTCCGTTTTGATGAGTTGTGTGGCTCGATCGATGTCGATTGTATTTTTACCGACTAGCAATACTTTTTCTCTTGATTTTGATCCTCGGTCAAGGCTAACATCACTCTTTCGCAATTGCAACACCTTTGACATATATTTGACCAGTTCAGAATTGGCTTCACCATCAACTGGAGGCGCTGCAATTTGGACGCCAATCGCTTCGGCCGACAGATCAGTGATACCATTCTGTTTGGCACCCGGTTTGGCATGTATACGCAAAACAATTTCGCCGGCTTTATTCACACTAACCGCACCAACAGTTGCAGGTTTATTATTATCTGTATTCGTTGCCGTCGTCTTTCCCGACGATTTTTTGCTATTCGCTTGTTTTTTCGATGACATTATCGCCGTTGACACAAACGAACGATATAAGTGCCGAATGCCGTGCATTCAAATCATTTAAGAAAAAAATTCAAGACACTGTTGACACTAGTGATTAGTGTTGAATGTTTATTTTATAAATGACATTGACCACACAAAAAGAAAATATTACGAGAAAAATGTGAGGTTAGATGTGTGAATTGTTTGTATGTTCTAGTACAATGATTATATGGTGAACTGGTACAAAATTTCAAAAATTGAGAAAAGGATGTTTTATTTGAATGAACATTTGCCTTAACAACAGAATTTACAACATCGATGTGGTTTGGATGTGTCATTTAGCAATTTATAATTCCATGATTTTCGCGGTGGTGCATATGGTACACGCTCTTCGGGGATTTTCTGTGAATGACAAAGAATAGAAAGGAATTCAAAAAAAATAAGAAAATCATCGAATTGGTGAGTTGTCTTAGAATAAAATCTTCACCACTGTTGATATAACAGGCTTTCCGCTACACGTCGGACATCTGGCACTGCCTCGACTTTTTACTGAAGGTGGCATACTATCTTCAGTATTGTCTGGAATCGAAATTTTTCTCGCTGGAACTGATTGTGCACGCTGTTTGATGAATACCCGATTTAAAAATCTGCAAAATTCAAAATTGATTGAATGAACTGGAACTAAAACTGCCCGAAGCAATAAAAAATAACCTCGGATGCGGTTCTTTCCAAAAGTTTTCCACACGATTAGTTATCATAATTTGGCTGAGTTTTTGCAAAAGACGCTGATTTTCACGCTCAATCTCTTGCATTCGCTCACGTTCTTTCTGGATTTTCTTTAATTTGACCAAAACATGAGGATGTTCAGTGGGACGACGAACATCAACGGCCGCTTGTGCACTTTGAACCTTTTTGCAAATTTTATATGAATGTAACTTAATTGCTTTCAATTGGATTAAATTAATATTTACCTTACGGCGATGTTTCTTATAATTTTGTTCAATAAATGGTTGTATTAAAATTTTCTCCTTTTTCGTTAACATTTCAAAGCGACTCGATTGTTCGATCGATTGAATTCCAACACTGTTTCGATTTGTTATTGTTTAATCATAAACAATTTTCCATGGTGACGATGATTTTACCTATTCTAGAAAAACACTTTACTGCTATTAGCATACATTTTCGGTTTATAAAATATATAAATTGAAATTTAAGTGAATTTATTTTATTTTCAAATTTTTGGTATTAAAAAGAAAAGATTTTTTTTTTTCAAAAACGAATTTATATATTTAATAAAATTCAATAATGGCAGCGACATCTGTTGTTATATTTCGCACCATATACTGCATATAGTTGAATGATTCCACATGTACTGTATGTCCATTTGAGAAACGATAACAACGTCAATATTGAAATCGTAGTCAAGAGCTAATACATTCGTTGTGTTTATATAGAGATCTGCATCAATTCTGTAAACGTCACACGTCACCTATCCCAATTGACAGTAGTGACATACAAAAAAAGAAAAGAAAAAAAGGAAACGAATTAAGAAAGTTGACAACATGTACACGAAGATTTTTTCTAATTAAAAAGATATAACAATAAAAAAAATCACACGTAAGAAACATATGAATCTATTGTGACGTAGGAAACTCCAGTATTTATTCGATTTACAAACGAAACGGTGTAATATTCAGAAATCAATTTGCATTTGGTGGTAGACAAAAACACAACCGTCTGGCATTGAATAATGTACATTGAATTGGTTTTAAAATTCAATTTCTAAACTTTGTTGTGTGTTAAAATTACTAGGGCCATTTGATTCGATTGAATGGTGTATGTGACGAGACTGAACGACAACACAATTGTGAAAATCATCAACGGATCGAAATCTATTCCGGCTGAAAGTTGGTGATATACACAAGAAACCATGTCTATGCCAGGCAACGGAATTTTTGTGCTGAGAGGCGAAATCTCAACATTGATGACCGCCATCAAACGTGGCGCACGATGGAATAGCTCAAATTATCAGGTAAATTCAAGAGAAGAAAAAAAAACCAAACCAATTTCAAGTGAACAATGCAGAAAATTATCGCTCTACAATACTGAACTCTTGACAATCGACGCTTTTTAATCACACATAGGAAGAGGAACAAGATGGATTGATGAAACAATTTTCTGAGCTAAAAAATCTGCTCATCACGGTTGAAGATTTACGTTTAATCGAACCAAAGATTTTCCTTGGTCCATTTCTTGAAGTGATACGATCCGAAGAGACCACTGGACAAATCACAAGTCTTGCATTGTCTGCATTGAATAAGTTCCTTTCATATGGCCTTATAGGTAAGATCAAACCACTTTTTTAATGTTAGTTTTTATTATGAATTGCAAATCTTTTGCCCTCTTCGTTTGAAAATCAATATTCATGCGTATCAATTAAATGTTGCCTGCCAACAACAGATCCAACTCATTCAACAATCGCAACAACGGTCGATAGTATTGCTGATGCAGTGACTCATGCTCGATTTGTTGGTTCCGATCAGGCGTCTGACGGTGTTGTTCTTATGAAAGTTGTACAGGTATTACGCACATTAATACTCAGCCCGGAGGGCAGTGCGTTAACCGATGAAAGTGTATGTGAAGTGATGCTTAGTTGTATACGTATTGTGTTTGAGCCACGTCTCAATGAATTGTTGCGACGGACCGCCGAACAGGTTTTGAAAGATATTGTTCTATTGTTATTTATGCGTTTGCCACAATTTGCTGTGGAACGTCATACGAGCGGATTGATTCGAAAATTGAAAATGATGTCGAGCGGCAGTGGAATGGAAACATCATCAAAACGTCGCCGATCGATAAAAAATGCAACTAAAAGTACAACAACGCAAAGTGCTAAACAGTCATCGAATGCAACAAGAAATATGTTAACAACACCGGCAACACGATGCCCTGAAATAGAGGTGAACTCGCCGAAAGTATCGAATACTTTTTATGATAATGTGGCCACGCCAAATCAAGCGTTATTAAGTGTACAAAAATCCATTTTGGCCACAACACCATCCACACCGCTTGTCGGTAATATTGTTGATATGCAAGGAAAATTCATGCAAACACCAAATCCAAACGATGTGTCCGATGATAAATGTGAACAAAATACGATAAGCGATTCGAAAAGTGACAACAACGACGGTGCATCAAATTCAAATTCCGTCGATAGCACTACGATTGAAGAGACGGCCGAAAATGATGCTGATGTTGAAGACGAACCGATCGATGAACAACACGTTAAAGCGCCCGTTGCCATTCAATCAAAAGAGGAACACGCAAGTACTAGCCTAGATGCAAATCCCATTGTAAAAGGTGAGGATTTTGTTAATTCTATGGGAGTTAGATTTACACCACAAACTGATAATGGTGCGTTCCTTTCAAAATAATCAATTCTATTTTCGTTTAAATGTTCCATTTGTATTTTATTAGTTTTGGCGTCATTTATACGGTCAAGGGCGATTGACAGAAGCGTATTTAGTTTTTGAACTCATTTTGATTTAAAGCCATCAAAATCAAAGGCTTGGGTTAAAAGTTAAATACGCTTCTGTCGATTGAACCTTCACTCTTACTTTCGTTCATTGAAACTGCATGTTTTCGTTTGTTTGTCGTATTATTATTATTATTTGTTAATTTGTGTGTCAATTCAACACACGTCAATTCATATTTTATTAATTCCATTATTTTTTTCACACACGCGATTAGAATCAATGGCAGTGGTGACGTTAACACCGTATGGATTACCGTTGATACATGAACTGCTGCGCTTTTTGATATCGTTGATAAACCCAATGGATAAACAAAATTCGGACGTTATGATCCATATGGGATTGAGTTTATTAACTATTGCCTTGGAAGTTGGAGCCGATAGCATTGGCAAATATGACTCATTACTTGAAATGGTCAAGGATGATTTATGCAGAAATCTGTTTGCGGTATGTATTGAAGCATTCAAATTTTATCAAAGTAGTTTTTTCTAGGAAGGGTTCTAGAGATTTCAAAAATAGCTCATTTTTAGTTTTTTTTTTCATCACTCTATTATTTCAAATAATTTAAATTCTGTCAATCACAGCTGTTAGGTACTGAGCGCTTAACAATTTTTGCCGCCGATTTACAAGTGTGTTTCTTATTATTTGAGTCACAACGTAGCTGCTTGAAATTCCATTTGGAATACTATTTGAATAAATTGGCCGAAATAATTGGCAGTGAAAATCCGCGTACACCGTATGAAATTCGGGAACTAGCTCTTGACAATTTATTGCAATTTCTTCGAATTCCATCATTTGCTGCTGAATTGTTCATAAATTACGATTGTAATCTGTACTGTACGAATTTACTAGAGGATTTGGTCAAACTATTGTCAAAGAATTCATTGTCGGCAACGCAAGCAATTTACACAATACACGATCTGTCACTTGACGGTTTGATGACAATCGTCGTTGACATCGAAAAGAATTGCACGAAGCAATCGACGGTGAAAAATTCAAATGTAAATGTGGTCAATATTACTGGTCGTCATTCGCGGAATAATTCGTCCACCGATAAAATCACACTGGAGCACACTAACAGTGATTTGAATGTAACGACAAGTGGTGGAGAAGAGAGCGGAACCATTGAGTCCATTCATAGTTTTATTAATAAGAAAAAGCACTTTGGTGCCAATATCGATACAATTGAAGAAGGATTGACCGAACATGAAGCTCAAAATAAAGCCGACATCATTACACATGATCAACTGATTGAAGTCAAGGATAGAAAACGAGTAAGTACATTATCAGATTGGAAGAACAGTCATCGATAATAAATTATTGAAATTTCTTTGTACAGATTTTAACCCAAGGCACTGAACTGTTCAATATAGAGCCGAAAAAGGGTATACAATTTTTGCAAGAAAATGGATATTTGAAACCGGAACTTGATGCGTCCGAATTGGCACACTTTTTACGCGATAATTCCAGTTTGGATAAGAAAATGATTGGCGAATATATTACGAAAAAGAAAAATCTTGAAAGTAAAATTTTAGAGAACTTCCTGAAAACATTCAATTTTGAAAATTTACGCATTGATTTGGCATTGAGACAGTATTTGGAAACGTTCCGCCTCCCTGGTAGGTTCACTTCATTCAATTGCTTAATTATATACGAGCATTTAAACAAAAGCAAATGTTAATTCGAATGTATTTTATTTTTAATATCGATTTATAAGGCGAAGCACCGCTTATTTCACTGGTGATGGAACATTTTGCTGACTATTGGCATGTGAGTATAAATGCTGTTAACACATGATCATGGTCTGATACATTGAATGCTATTTTCTTTTTTTATTCCACAGAAAATGAATAATGAACCGTTCGCCGACACAGATGCAGCCTATCGGCTTGCATACGCCATAATTATGTTAAATGTAGATCAACACAATACAAATGCAAAAAAGAAAAATATCCCAATGTCGGCCGAAGATTTTACAAAGAATTTACGTGGATGCAATGGTGAAGGTGATTTTGATCCGGATATGCTTGCAGCAATATTCAATGCAATCAAGTAAGTGCCAAATATATTTTGTGTCAAATAGAAATCAAATCATAATCAAAACCGTTCATTCAACAGAAACGATGAAATCATAATGCCAGCGGAACAAACTGGTTTGGTGCGTGAGAATTACTTGTGGAAAGTGTTGTTGCGTCGAAATAAAACCAAAGATGGTCGATATTTGCGTGTAAATGGTGCCGCCGTCGACAAAGATATATTCCAATTGGTATGGGGACCAACATTGGCCGCATTGAGTTTTATGTTTGATCGATCATCGATTGAAAGTACATATCATAAATCATTGATTGCATTTACAAAAGGTGCTGCAATATCGTCACATTTTATGTTGCATGATGATTTCAATGCGCTCATTTTAACATTATGCAAATTCACAACGCTTTTGAATAATTTGAATGCATCAAATGCCGATGCTAGTTCAGCGCTGGTTGTGAATCCATCAGCAAGTGCAACAAATGAAATATCGACCAGCGTTCATTTTGGCTTGAATGTAAAAGCACAATTGGCAATGAAAAGCGTATTCGGAATGGTACACAAGCATGGCGATTGTTTACGATGTGATGGTTGGAAGAATGTCATTGAAGTGGTGTTGCAATTGTTCAAATTGAAATTGTTACCAAAGATTTTAATGGAAGTGGAAGATTTTTGCGAGCCAAGCGGAAAGATCACATTGATACTAGAGAAACCGTTGCAAAAACAAGAAGTTGGATTGTTTAGCAGTATTTATATGTATTTGGCGTCGGAAGGCCAACGACAACCAACCTATGAAGAGCAACAAATTATTAAAGTTGCACGTCAATGCGTTCGCGAATGTCAATTGGATCAAATTATTGGCGAATCGAAATTTTTACACGTTGATGCATTAAAACAACTCATTCAATGCTTATTAAATTGGCTTAAGCCACCCAGTGTACCGAAATCCGAAAATACTTCATACACCGAAGATACGACCGTTTTCTTGCTCGAATTTCTTGTGAAAATTCTAATCCAAAATAGAGATCGACTATTGCCACTGTGGTCGGATTGTCGTGATCAAATTTATTTACTGCTACTGGGCAGTTCGTCTTATGGATACAACTATTTATTGCTACGAACAACAGTGGGCCTATTAAAGCTCGCCATCTATTTAATGCGCAACGAAGAACTCTGTCCGGTTGTATTGCAAAGTTTGAAAATGTTTTTGCTATTGAATCCAAATATCTTACTGAAGATTTCAAAACAAATTTCCACTGGATTGTATGAACTATTGAAAACGAGGTGAGCGATGCATTTTTTATTTTTTTATTTGGTTGAGACTCTTCTTCAGAAAACGAAAATTAAAAAAAACTTGATTTTCGTGGTACTTTCCATCATTTTTCAGTGCGCAAAATATTCATACGGAAGGGGATTGGGATATAATATTCACATTATTGGAATGTGTTGGTGCTGGTGCAATACCTGCTGATTATGAAGAGTCATTGACTCTAACGCAAGCCTATTTGGGTAAGACACTTTCAATCAAGTTTACTTGAATTGCTTCTTTTTTTTTCATTTTGATTACAAATTTTTTAATTCAAATTCAAGGTGCAAAATCCGAAGGAGCCTTAAGTAGTGGTGAAGAAGAGTCGGCCGCTTCGGCAATAGCCCAAGCTCGCGGTTATATATCGGATTCGGAGATCTCAACGCGTCTTCATGCCGATACAGCAGTAGTGACAGCAACATCAAAACCATCACCGCAAGAGAATTGGATTATTGTAAATAATAAAGATTCAGATGTAACAGTTACATCGCGACCAACATCGCCAATTCATTCGCTTGTTTATCCATGCAAATTGATGCGACATTCAACATTTGCATTGGTTAAATGCTGGGATAGTTTGGCATTTATCGTTCGAAATGTGGCCCATATAACGCCATACAATTTTGAAAGTTGTGTCAAATGCATTCGAACATTTGTCGAAGCATCAATAAGTGGTGGCAATTTAAATCCAAATGCATCGGTGAATCGAAAATCATCATTGCATCACAATCGAAATCCAAATCGAAAGGCACACAAACGTCGTGAACAAATGCAATCGAATAATGGGAGTGTGGCAAATGCGAGCGCTGCCAGCGCTGAATATCCAATGCTAAATGATAGTGACGATGATAATGAAGATAATGAATTGTTACAACGATACGAAACGATTTCAATTCAATTGCTTGATTTGATGCATACGCTACACACAAGAACCGCTCAAATATTCCGTTGGTGGGCCGAAGAGAATGGATCATTTTTACAAGGTTCAAGACTATGGAGCATTGGATGGTGCCCTATTTTGCAAGGTATTGCACGATTGGCCACTGATCAACGCAAACAGGTGAATTGAAATAACAAACGAAATTTAATTATTTTTCAAATTTATGCCATTTAATGTCGTTGCAATTTTCTACACATTTAGGTTCGAACAAGTGCTGTGACATGCTTGCAACGATCATTGCTTGTTCCGGACTTGCAAACATTAACAGGATCAGAATGGGAATCATGCTTCAAACAGGTAAAATAAATGTACAGTTTACACAAAATGTTTTCTTTTACATTTTTGTTTTGTTTTTAAATAGGTCTTATTCCCGTTGCTATACGATTTGTTGACTGAAGTGCCAACCATTAATATAACAAGTAATGTTCTTGAAGAGTCTCGAATGCGAACGGCAACTATTATGTCGAAAGTATTTTTGCATCATTTGACGCCTTTGATCACACTGGCCAGTTTCAGTGAATTATGGCTTGATATTTTGGATTATATTGAGAAGTTCATGCGAGTCGGTTCGGATATGTTGCACGAAGCAATGCTAGAGAGTTTGAAAAATATTCTGTTGGTGATGCATTCGGTGAGTATTGATTATCACTGTTGCTAAAATTAAATTATTATTAATTGAATTCAAATTTATGTATGATATCAGGTGAATGTTTTCCATAACAATAACGGTGTAACACATACACCATTGTGGGAGTTAACTTGGAAGCGTATCAATCAATTTTTGCCAAATCTCAAAGAGGAACTATTTGATAAAGAGCCAAGTAAGCGAATTCAAATAAAAAATCATCAAATAAAATGTGAACAGAAAAGAACATGATGTCATTTTTTTTCTCTTGTAGTGCTTTCGAATCGTGGACAATTGGAAACTGGACCAAAGCCACAAAGTGTTATTCAAAGTCCAACGGTACCAAATATGAGCCCGCCCGAAGTATCGAATCAGTTGCCAGAGCAAACAATTCCAATCAATAAATTAAGTAGTATTATTTTGGAGCCACCACAAAACACTCTAGTCCATCCGAATATTTCATTAATGAGCGGAGTTGAGGCACAAACACAAGTAAAAAATTTATAATTTTAAAATAAAATCCAAAAATCTAAATCAATCGTATTTGATTCTACTCAAATGTATAGATTGTACCACAACAGCAACAGCAACAGAATCAACATAACGTAACTCAAATTCAACAACCATTCTTAGCGAATTATGTACCGTATGCTGTTCCGGCACCAAATGATGTTCAAGCAGTAGAAACACCGATTTCAACAGCACATATACAAACCAACTTTATCAAGCCACCTGCTGTACTGCAACCGCAACAACAACAAGAACAGGAGCAGCTATTAAACGTATGTGATCAAATCGTAACACAATCAAATGTGCCAGTAGTGGGACAATCAACCGATCCAATGGAATCATACACAAATTACAGTCCATATGTTGAAAAGAGTCCATGCATAAATCCACACTTTTCAAAAATAATCGATTTGCCGGTAACACCATCACCACCACCCATTATCGAAGAGCCTTCGGAAAATAGTATTGATGAATTAACATCAAGCCCAAGCAAAACCAATGACCAATCACCAGTACATATCGATAGTCATGAACCAAAAGTACCACTTAGCCATTTAATTGCAACGAACCAATATCCGAGTCTAAATCGAATACCACCTGCGAACATTGTGCAAAGCTTTGCACCAATTTACAACCAACAACAACAACAGCAAGCCTCTTATGGATCATCAAATGAAAATGAAGACTTATACAGTTCGTACGTGAATAATCCGTACAATTTGACATTGCATGTTGAACAAAGTTTTAGCAATGCTACATCAACAGCAACCGTCACCACAACCAATCAGTCATTGCCCGTTGCTACCACTACAGCTGAACAAACAAATGTTATCACAACAAATGCTAGCAATTTAAATGTTTTCCAATCTGTAAACTACTTTGGAGCTCCATCGGATGCACCCATTCCTCCCGGTTCAGAGATGCTCTTTGGCGGTCCATAAATTTATATTATTTAGTCCCACAATGTGCAACATAATGAACAGGAACATTAATTTTTAATCTTTTTTTTCACACAATATCGTATCGAATGCATGCGTGTGATGCCACAAAAAATGTAAGCATCATTCACTGTCTCTTTATCGAGAAAATACGTTAATTATATGTATACATATATTTGTTTTTATTATTTCCTTTTTACCTTGCGCCACATATGTTGGTTGCGTTTTATTTTATTTGTTTCCTCACGCTTCAGTTTTCAGTCATTTGTTCATTGAATTGAATCGTTTCTGCATGTAAATTGGCAAATTGAAATACAAAATATTGTTTTATACACCCGAAATGTGAAAAAATCAATTTTAAGTAAAATAAATTATGGCTTTTTATTTAAAATAAATAAATAAGCACGCAACCGTGAGCTGTGGATACCACTTGAACCGACGATATTTGTAATTGTAATAATGAAGACAAAACGACGATATTGAAATTACATTCCCATCGAGGAAACGGAGGAAACGTGTTATTTATGATTTTTCTTTCTTAATAAAATGATCGTAGGATCATATACAATATATATTATTTACATATATGTACAATTTGTGTTTTATTCAGTCGATTTTATTTTATTTGAGCGATATATAATCCATACAGGCTATATATAGCTCGAAATCTCTAGATTCATTGTGTTTTTTGTAGGTAAATAATCACTGGAGACCATATTCCCGTATGAACATTCCCGTATCAACACGTATCGTTTGACTATCATTTTCTATATTATTGATAATTTAAAAAAAACTCTTGTTCATAAATTTATTGTATATGTACAAAGGGAAAATGTTACCAACATAAAGGAAATGGATTCAACAAAAAAATTAATCTAAATTTGATTTATTTGATTATCTGAACAAAACAGGGGTAGATCATGAAAAAATACGAGGTCGCAAAATGTTGAGTACATAGCTCTATACAGGGCTAGTGTTGGCTACAGACATACCCTTAAACGAACACTGTGCGTAAGAATAAGGACATGCAAGCAGCGCCGCACTCGAATGCATTTGATTTGAATTATAAATTGAAGCGGTGAAAGTTCGAACTAACCAAATTACACTAACAAAATCTACATACACGCTCAGTGTTCGCCCTTAAATCAGTCTATCTTGTAAGGGAAGATCCATAGAAGACATTGTAACCATAAAAGGATAAATATTCGAACTTATTTTTCACTTTATTTTGATCGATTTGGAGAAATACTCATTTTGGAGGGGAAATCGATCCCTTCGCCCCCCTCACAAAATATCAATTCTTAAGTATTTATGCATAGCGAATCCGAATTTTGAGGGAATCAAAAATTTATATTTTGATCCGATGAAGTTTTGCGACCCTGAGATGATGAGACACCCTGTGCGATGTGACAATATTAATATTCCACCATTTACTTGCTTTGCATTATCTTATCAACAGAGTACTTAGGTCAGTGGTCACTCTCATGTATTCACACTCACAAACTCAATTACATGCGTTTAAAAAGCATATAAACGAGTGTGTGATTCTTTGTGTTGTATTTGAATGTTAGCGGCGTAATACAGATTAAGATTACCAAAAACAGAAATAAAGTCCGTATGCTTCATACCGAACGCACAAAATTACGTTTGTTAATAAATAGAGTGAAGTACTTGATTGAATGTATAAAGTGTTATATTCAAATGTGAAATTATCACTTAATTAATGCACAAAAAGTTTTTCTTTGATATGAATAAATGAATAAATTCACTATGAAAATTCTGTTGTTGTATGTACTTTTGGCAAGTTTTCTATCTTGTTGTAACGGTTCGAAAAAAACGAGTGAAACTGGTGATAACATTGTTAATGCGGGTTCGTAAATGTGTAAATTAAATACAGAAAATGACAATTTAAAAACCAACTGAACTACTTTGTTAGGCACGTACGAGCTCAAATTTGAACAACTTTTTCAGCAATATTGGCGGAACAACAGAACACTCACTGAAGATTTAAGAAACGCCCTTAATATACCAAAGCAAATCAATTTGAAAGTTGAAGAATTGCCCAACTGTCACTCTGTATGTTTTATTATCAAAGTAGCACTTTATCTATCTATGATATTTTGACCCATTTTTTTTATCTCCCTTTTAGCCAAAAAAATGTCTCATTTGTCGCGCATTTTCATTCACCTTTTTGACTTACTATCAAAATCATTTCGAACAAAATCTTGATGAATATTTATTTGATTTGTGCACAATATTGGCAGAAGAACCAGACTACGTGTGCATTGGCATGATAAATATATATGGGGTGAGTGGAGTGGAGAGTTGTAAATATATCTACTGTAATAGATAAAATTGAGAAACAAATTTTAACGTAAAATCATCATTATCAGACATAAGTTTACAGTCGAATTTTGCTCACATTGGTCACAATTAGTGGTGGCAATCCCACACATTTCTTGTATCGATCGCGTCGAGTTGCTTGCGGAAATCGTTTGACAATTTTGTGTTGTCATTAATTCATCGACCAGTCGATGATACAATTGCCACGTTTGATGTTGATCCGCCGGCTCCCATGTAGAAAATTGATGGCTGATTGCGAACCATATCTCCATGAATTATTGTTTTTCTCCAAAACATAAACAAAGGAGAACCCCATAAAAGAGAATACACTAAAACGATATTTTGTATGAAAGTTAAATGGACAAATACAATTTTAGACGGATTTCAACTATTAGTTCCGAATTTTATACGGCATGTCATCTTGTTTTTATTGTATATTTTTCTGTGTGCATTATTCAATTTCATACACTACAGACTTTGAAAGATGTGGAAGTTTAACCCGTATTTGGATTAGATTATGAAATGCGAACCGAAAATATAAAAACACTAGAATCGCGTATAATCTTTGTATCTATACGTAAAAGAAAGGGAACAATTTTGATGGTTTTTCTATCACTTTTTTACCAAAAATGAAGAACCCTAATATTCATTGTTGAAAATCATTCTTTGTCTTTTAAATTATAGCCAACCATTAAGTACATTTTAAAGCATCGTACTAATGAATTGTCATCGGAAAGGATTTGCGGAATTTTATTCCAATACGATGGGTGTAGTGCAAATAAATATGTGATTGATTTCACTATTGAACCAGCTCATGGCATGGAACCAGTAGTTAAAGTATGTATTTCGAATAAATTTTGTATAGGTTAGTAATCCAACAAAACAAAAAAAACTTTCGCCTGAATAGGTTCCAAAGCAATATCAATTTGGAGAAAAAGCCACAAACTCTAGCTCATTTCTTACCATAGCACATTTAAGTGACTTTCACTTTGATCCATATTATTCTGCTGGTAGTAGTTCGAATTGTATTGATTTTCTTTGCTGTCGCAATACAAGCATTGTGAGTATAAACTTTTGGAGAAAGATGTTTTTTAACAACTTTCGTAGTAACTGAAATATTTTGCCTTTTTCATTTTATATTCAATATAATATAACGCCCTACAATTTTAAACCAAATTAGCCAAAAGAAAATTCGACACAAGAAGCTGGATATTGGGGAGATTATTTATCGTGCGATTCACCAAGCCATTTGATCGAAAATATTTGCTCACAAGTAGCAACTAATCATAAGGTAATGGGACAAATCAATCAAACATGTGCACGAACTGTTCGTGTGTTTGTGGCGTTTTTTATATTGTTTGTTCGTTAGTTCGTTCGTCCATAGAAAATTAAATGTTCGAATTGTTGGTTCGTTGTTTGGATTGTTCGTACGAACACTTTATAAATAAAATGTCTTACATCCATAAGATGAACTTTTCCGCACAGCATGCATTTACTACATATCTTTTACTGTAAATTTGAATTCACGAGAAAACTTAATTTGAGATTAGTTTTGCGGAACAAGTAATTTTCGACGCACTTTTTATAATTTTTTTTACTAAAAATGGAAATTTTTGTATAGAAGCTATGCCCGTATGATATCATAATAAGCTAAAACTTTGCACAGGCCATTTTTTCCACACAAAAATAACATTCTGTCACTGTTAAAAGTGGTGACACTGGTGTGTGCGAAAAAGTAAAAGTACAGTAATAATAAATAAATAAATAGTATAATAATATTGCACTACTAAATGGAAATAGGAAAAACTTTAAATCATTTTTTTTTGCTTTTCCGATGAGAAATCGTAGAAAATAAGCAAAATGTTGACTCCCGTATTCCAATTCGACTGATTCATAAATTGTCGTCGAACATCGAACGAACAATCCGAACGTTTGATTTTCCACGAATGAATGAACGCAATACAATTCTACGAACGAGCGAACAAAATTTAAAAAAACGCTACGAACAAACGAAGAATTTGTTGGATGTACGTTGACAGCTCTGCAATCAATTCAATGTTTGACCATTTTTGGCATTTTTATTCACAGAATATCGATCTAATTTATTACACTGGTGATTTCGCTGACCATTTCAGTTGGTTGACAACGAAGTCAAGCATTAAACATTCTATTGAGTTTGTAACTCAACAGATCAAAGAAAAATTTCCAAAAACGCCTGTTATAATGGTGATTATTGTGTAAAAATATATGAGCAAAGTCTTATCCAATTTTATTTATTGTAATTATTCAGGTGATTGGAAACCATGACATCCATCCATCAGATGCGTGAGATTTCATTTATAATTGCATTTATCTTCAATCATTGTGATTATCATTTTTAACTGATTTCATTTAGGTTTGCGCCAGAATCGACGTCAGAATATATAAATTCAAAGTGGTTATATGAAATTGCGGCTGATCTTTGGTCTGATTGGCTACCTCAAACCGCTTTATCAACTTTTCGACGTGGAGGTTACTATAGTTATTCATTTCGGTCGGGCTTGCGAATAATTGTCCTCAATAACAATCTTTGTTTTACGCATAATATGTAAGTGGAATTTATGAGAGTACAAGTCACCAAAATTTTTTGTTATTCTTCAATCTATTTGCCATCTTGAAATTTTTTATTTTTAACCACTACAAAATATTAACATATTATATGCTCTATACAAAAAGATGGCTTTTGTATAGTTCCGAAGAAATGGTTGTACAACTGAGCTGGTTACGAGATACATTATTGGAGGCTGAAAAAAACAATGAAAAGGTACACATCCTGTATTAATATAAAATACTACATAGTAACTTTATATTTAGGTTCATATTCTTGGACATATTCCGCCAAACACGTCAAGTTGTATTCGGGCTTGGAACCGTGAATACAATAAACTGATTATACAGTTTTCACACATAATTAGCGGCCAATTTAACGGTCACACGCATACCGATGAATTTACTCTGTTTTATTCGGAGGATGATGACAATCCCATTCCATTGAATGTAGCATATAATGGTGGTAGTGGCACGAGTTTCATTGGATTAAATTCCAATTATCGTTTGTATTTGGCCGACAATAATACTTTTGAAATAGTAGACCAGGAAACTTTTATCTTTAATTTGACTGAAGCAAATATGACCCCTGGACAACCACCAAGGTGGTTTAGAGAATATTCGTTCCGTGATGCATTTTCGGTCCCTGATATGAGCCCGTACACTTTGAGCAAATTGGTAAACGATACTTTTCGACATGATCGAAGCGCCCTATACAAGGTAATTAATTACAAGGTAGTCAATGAATTTAAATACTTTCCAAGAAACAAATTTTAACGCAAAACTATCATTATCAGGCACAAGTTTACGGTCGAATTTGAGCCTGAACTTGTGTGAAAAATTGACACGAAAATTTCCATAACATTACCTATGTATATTTGAAAAATAATGAATTCTTGATAATTACAGTATTGGAGCTACAAGTACAAACTGGCTTCACCAAAAATGGAATCAGGTTGCAACGATGCTTGTCTGGAAGAGTTACGGCTTATAACAAATGGCGATATGGAAAATACCTTCTTCTGAATCTTTTCTGATACTAAATTTTTGAGCATTTAGCGATTTGAATAAAATATTCAACCTAAGAGAAAACGGAAAATTTTTAACAGTTCTTTTTAATCAAGCTTTTGGATTTTTATATTTGAAAACTTCTGATCAATTGCAGAAAGCCCCCGGAAACTGGTGGAGGCGGCTTTAAAGTTTTTTTCTTAACACTGTCTACTTATATGTTGCACTGGTGTGCATTTTTGTTGGATTCTTTAACAGATATAAAAAATATATCATTTTGATTGAAAATATTGAATAAAATGGTCAAGTGAAAACAGCTCATTGTTTAAGATTTTATTAATATCTTCTTTGTTTTTTCAACGAGAATAATAAAGATTATTTGAGTTGACACCTTTCTATAGAAGAACTATAGTTAAGATTTTTGGTCTTTGAAATACTTTTCATGCATAACATTTTTTCCATATTTTTTGTGAATTATTGAAATATTGAGACAAAGAGATCGAGATTCTTTCCAGAAAAGAAATGAATTAATGTTTGAAAAATAATAAAAACATGTTCTTTGTGGCTATTAAGCGAATAGAAGGAAAATAAATCAAATGTGTTGCATGAGAACTTCATTCGAAAAAACGATATGATGCAGACGTGAATGTATAATATTCCGTCATTGTTTGATAATGAAAAAGTTATTTACAAGCGAACAAAATGTTTTGTTTTTACTTCGATTTTAGCTGTAGGTGAAATTTTTTCTGGCATATTCCCATTGAAATAGAAATGAACAAAAATAATATCGTATGTCTCGCGGCGATTTAATGTCATTGTAGACATAAACCATTTCTCGAGTACCAGCATTATATAGAGCCTTGCACCCCAAGAGAGGTGGTCTTGCAGACACACATAAAATGCTATATTGATGTTGATGACCAATAATGTTGATGTTGGAACCAACATCGGCTTGAGAATTTTCAATGAACAATTTTGTGCTTCCCGGCTTGTGATTGTTTTGACGCTGAAATTACAATTCAATCGTACGTTCAGTTTGTGCATTTTCGAAATTAATAGAAATTTGTCCTATATAATATTTTATGTTTTGTTTTGTTTTCTCTTTTGTTATGCATTCTCAATATAAACGTACCAATAAACGATGTACTTAACGTTCTCTGTCTGCTACGAACTTTTTATCAATTATGATCAAGAAATAAGTGAAAATACTACACAAATTAGTTATACTCGTAATCAAGTAAGTATTAAAAAAAAAAACATCCAACTGACCTCTGTCAATAGACAATCGACACAAATTCCACGAAAACATTATGCTTAGTGAAATTAAGGAAACAATTGTAAGCGAATGCTCTAGTTATCTCACTGGGGCTAACAAAGGACAAAAAAATTCAAAATAAATCGACATATATGCTGTAGCTATGTTCCACCTCAAATGAATATGTTGTTATTGTGTATGAATCAATTTTAAAACTGGAATATGTAAATGCTCCGAATCATCCTTCGACATATATGTTATTAAGCAAGAACAATGACTTGATTTAATGAAAGTCAAGTATTCAGCTTGCACAAAATATGTTGTACGTTGAACGACTTCGACGGTTTTTCAGAGGAGCAACACACTCTCGACATGAAGCGGAATATGTAGACTATAGAGTCTAAATGTGATGGTCTGTATGCATGAAGAAAAAAAAGTATTGTAAGTCATTCAATACTCATACAATCGTCTCACGAATATGAATACGACAACGGTGGCAGCGACTGCGACTGTGACGGCAACAGCCGTAGCAATAGAATACCATATGCAATACATGGAGCATTTCTGTGTGATTGTATACAATCTCTTTGGTTGGTTGGCAACTTACTCGCTGGCTGGATTGTTTGTGTTGTGATTTCGTAGCTAGCGGTGCCGATACACATTTTTCTATAAATTCAGTAAGCCTTGACAATGAAATTTCATTCCTCTTCATTTCTTTCTTCGAACACATATCGAACATAGAATTTCTCCCTCGCGCATTCTTTCGTAGTTCGTTGTCGTTTCGGATATTAAGTTTAGCTCTGTTATCTGTGTTTTTAAAGAAGTTATTTATTTATTTATTTTTTTCAAATATTTATTGCAAATTGTGCCAGCTAATCGATCGTTACATATCGCTATATTTATTTATTTTTTGTTCGAAATCCAATATTGTCTTGGATTTTAATTTAAGCTGCAGAAAAAAATTATCTCTCTAACTCATCGATTTGGTGATTGCTACTAGAAAAGCGTTCAAGAAACGATCTTTTGAAAATTTTAACGTTTTTTTTTGTCAACATCGAATTTCATTATAAACGTTCGGTTTTTGTGAGTGATAAAAGAAAGTTCAAAACGAACTAAAAGTAGAAGAAAATACGATCGTAAGCGAAAAAAGAAGCAGTGCTCGCATAGTTTTTTTGGTGAGAATTTTTGTTTTTTAATCTCGCAAAATCAGAGACTTCCATTAAATAAGTTTTTTGTTTAAACCAGTGAACACAGTACATGGCCATGCATTCATTCAACATTACTTCGTCAATACATTTTCTGTTCCGTTTAGCTGACCGCATTTCTTCTCTTAATTGTTGAACATTCTGTTTTTTGGTGATCGATCGCGAACCATCGATTTAAATATTTTTGAATGATTTATTTTCATTTTACACGGTATAAACCGCTCCAAACAGACAATCTAACATACAAAAGAAACGCGAACCAATTATCGATATTTTCGTCCATTTGACTTCGAATTGGATTATATTTTTTTTTATTTATAATTGAGCAGACTGAAAGTTCACTGTAACATCTTTCTTGCAAAAAAAAAGAGAAAAACAAGAACAACAAGAAGATAAAACAAAAGTAAGAAAAGAGTAATAATTGGGCAAACCTTTTCTCTTATCTTCGTTTGACTTGCGATTGAACTGCTATGCAAATTGGATTCCAAGCAGAAAATTGAGCGGCGAAATAAAGGCAGCTTGTAAACGACGTAAAAATACCCTAATAACAATCTCAGCAGTCAAAAACAAGAACGAAAACCAGTAAAAGAAAATTTATTGAATCAAAAATTAACATATATATAACATATAATTTCGGTATCGAACAATATGTGGAAAGTGATCTTGTTCAGTGTGGCCTTTTCTTCACTACATCTGACTCATGGCCAAGGTAAGCATAGTGTATTGTACCAAATCTAATAAATAATAAACTTGTCAATTTTTGTTTAAAGAATTTTTTCCACTATTGATGCTTTGGTTTGTGGATTTTCCATTCTCTGTCCCATTTTATTTTGCGAATGACATAATTTTCAGATTTTTGTGGATATTCACTTCAAAACCTAAAATTATGGATACAGATACATTGCAGAGACACATTGTTTTCAAATTATAGTTACAGTGTAGTTAGAGTGGCTCTCCAAATCTCGGAAAACAAGTAAATAATTTGTGACTCTATAATATTTTTTTGTCCATAATTTGAGTTTTTGAAGTGAAAATCCACAAAAATGTCAAGTTATATCATTAAAAATCCCAAATTATGGCATTTGCAAGATAAATTACGAGAAAGAAATGAAATTCAACAAGCCTACTGCTGCTGCTACTTCTTTTTTCGAGTTCATTTATCCCAACCGATTTATTTGTCATATATTTCGATCTCAGATACGTAATATATGTCATGCATAATTTATTTTTGCCGCTCATTCAAGGAAAACATAACAAAGAGAAGTGAACTAAAAAAAAAAATAAATGAAAGAAAAAATCAAGATGAGAAAAAATTAAGTCTATCGCGTGTATAAGAAGAAACTCGTACACATGTATCTGAACAATAGCCAAGATACAAAATATGATTACTCTCTGTATGTCTCTTTTTTTATTTCTTTATTATTTCTCGTTTTCGATTGTTTTTACCATTTTCTGTTTTTCCACCACACAATTTTCTCAACACCGTCAAATTAAATGCGTTATCGTTTATTAATTATTATTAACTATATTACTGCTCTACAATTAACCATATGCAACAACTAAATAAATAATAATAAATTGAAATAAGCGAAGAAGCAAATCAAAATACAAGTAAATAACCATCTGCATTTCTCTCTGATTACCGTAGAACGGTTTTGGGATAGGCACATACTGCATACCGAATTAAAGTGAAAGAGATATCTGCATCGAATTCAACGAAAAGAAATCGTGCGTATTTGCATGCAGTAATGAACTCATCAACGAGCACAGCAGAAACCAACATTCACATTCAATTCCACAGTATATAAATAATGTGTGTGTGTGTGTGTGTGTGAGTTGTGCCTTGATCTTTTTACATTTTCAACATGTTTATGGAAGCTATTCTTTTTATTTAATTTTGAATTTACGGACGAACATTCAAAGTGTATGTTTTCATATGAAATGGGTTCACACACAGCGAAAACAAACCATCGACAAGACTCAATTTCTAGCAATTCTCCGAAGAATACCCGTCTTTGCAGCATTCACTGTTTGGCACCATTCAAAGACATCGAAACTTCTCTTTCTCTTTCCCCTAAAGCCACTCAAGAATCTCTCTGTTTGTCGTCATCATTGTCGCTGATCGTATGACTATTTCATTGAACGACTAGATACTATGAAACTGATCAAAAGTATTTCTACAAAATATTCCGTTCATATAACATAGTACCACTTAATAGTAACCAGTTGTAATTTGCGCAATGTTTCGGTCTTGATTTGATCGTTTTACAAGAAATAAAGTTTTATTGTATAAATTATGTGCCGCGATCCATCTATGTTTTCTGTTGTGGTGATCGTTCTTTTTTTTACAAATTCAATTCGTTTCTACTTCAGATTTGGTTACTCCTCGCATACAATTCCGTTAAACTCAGCTAAAATTATGCGATCCATTCATTTTACCCATTGACACTCTTCTTCCGCAGTTGAATTCAAATCAGAATTTAAAACGACAATAATACCAGAAAAAAAAATAAAAACAAAACATTTTCTGAATGACGAAAAACCCACAAAGAAACCGAGAACAGAGACATGGTTTCACACACAAAGAAAATAACTCTTGTTCAAAATACACACGCATACACATAAAGAATGCCATTTGACTTTTATCTTTTTTCGTATTTTGGCTATAGTGGCACAGATCAAAAGCATTTTTAAAAACTTGAATATTTTAAACGGTGTTATTTTGTTTTTCCCTTGACTTTGGTTTTGTTTTATTTTATTTTTTGATTTATCCATCTCTTGTCTTCTGAACACGTTTGCTTGTAAAAAAAATGAATACATTTTTTGTGTAATTTTGATGGTGAAATTCAGAAATAATTTGATACATTGTCGGATTTCTGTGAATAGTCACAAAAATGTTAAATTATTACTTTGAAAAGACCAAATTCACACTATTGTGTGTAATCCATATCTATTGAAAATATCGATATGAGAGTATATCATTTTTGAGCTGAACATATTCAAAAACAAGAGTATTTGACCGTTTGTGTTAATGGCAAATTTATAATTGAGAGTTTGTATTTTGAGATATTTAGTTTGAGTTGTTGGCTATATCCATTTCGCAAAAAGAGAGTATGTAGTTTAACTAAATTAGTTCATAATAAAGGAGAGTAAGTATTTGTTCACATTGAAATAAAAGTATGAAAATGAACACAAGCGAACAAATCACAATAGCAAATGCCGTACTGTGTATGACTTATCAAGCGCACAGGTCGTGTTCATTCGTGTTTGGTACGTTTTGTTGTTTATGTGTGCTTTTGACGACAATACAGACTTCGTTAGCTTCTCTCACCCATTGCCGTTTCAGTGTTGCTGATTCTGTGTGCCTGTTACATTCGGATCAATAAATGTTAAAAATATTAACTATTTTCACAAATACTCTCACCTTTGTTTTCAACCATTGTAGCATGTATACGACAAAATTTAACCATTTTACCATAGAAAAACATACTCTCCTATCGTTATTTTCGATTGATATACACCACATGGATTCTATAGAATGTTGACTTTAATTCACACATTGTGTTTAACTACGAGTTTACCTTCTTCCCTTGCGAATACTATCGTATCATTCATTCATTCGAATGTCAACCAACCCGAACGCATTTCTCGCTCATATCACGGACTCAAATAACTTTCATTCTGTATAGATTTTCGTCGTGTATGTGTAGTGTGCACATATATTCTGTATCATGGCTATTAAAAGTGTCTGACAAAACAAATCAACGGCTTTTATGTATCTTTCAGAAAAAACGTGTACAATACATCATCTTCGAATACATTTAATCCTACAAATTATTCATCCTACTTACTATTTTACTCTCGACGTTCGCTTTTGTTCTTCATGTACGCTTTCAGTTTTTTCTCAATCCATGGAGAAATTTAATCTAAACAATGCCACTGTACCTTAACGAAACAAACTTTGAGTTTGGACTCTATAAAGCCGTACAAATATTAAACAACACCAGACAAATGTTATATGTTAGCTTTGTAGCATTGAAATTCAAACGGTTAAGCGATCCAAAAAAAAAAACCTTACCATAAGAATTATTCGAGGATATTTAAAAAAAATGTTGATTTTTTGAAAATTCATATATATCTGACTATTCATTCTACAGTGATTTGGATTTTATTTGCCATTCATTTAGTGCAAAATAAATTCTATCTTATCATTGTGAGACACTAAGGTAAATTAGATGGATTTTTCTTCTATACTAGTACAATTTATACCAAGGGGTACTCATAGGTCGGCAAGGTCACAAAATCATTCATCTGTCGAATCAGTTTCGCTTCTGCAATATCACGATGTCATAGAGTTGTGCTCTAGCAGCACCTTCGATTTCAACGTTTGCAACATTTGGTAGTCATGTTTTTAGGAAGCGTTGCTTCTTTGACACCAAAAGATCTGCATTTGGTCCATCTCGAAGAGTTGCAGCGATAACATTGCCCATTTCTCGCATCTCGCGCCATATTGGTTACAATGTGTGGTGGTAAGCCACACATTTCTTGTATTGATCGCGTTGAATTCTTTGCGGAAATCGTTTGAAACAGATTGATTCATTGACCAGTCGAATGATATGCCACGTTTTATGATGGCTGCAATTAGTTTGCGAGTGCCTGCAATCTCACCGCACATGTTTCTTGATCTTAATTGGCGAATTGACTGATGTTGATCCGCCGGCTTCCATGTAGAAAATTGATGAACCATTTTTCAAGCTGTTTTGTCGATTGCACGTAACGATTCGATATGCTTGTCCAATCCCAAGCGTGCACGTGTATATTTTAATGCCATCGTTCATTTCACCCAAAGTAGCTGCAACCCGATTACGAATATATTTTTCAATTCTCGGTTTTACTGTTGATAAATTTACTTCTAAATCAATTGAATTAGTATCACTGTTTGGTATATTTTTTGTATAATAATCATTGAACGTTGTCAGCATATCCCTCTAGCCGGTAAGGCGGCCTATAGGCAGCCTTCCAAAAAATGCGCCCAAATGACGCATTTTTAAAAAATTACATGAAAAATTCTAAAACACGCTTAAACAATCGTTAATGGTATTTAGCTTAGGCCAAAACTTTATATTTATTATTGGCATTCTCTGTGTTAGAAATTTTATGGAGGGTCCAATTTTTTTTCGCCTTCGGACTGGCCTTTTAGAGGGATATAATTAATCGGTTCAAACTTTGTGTAGCGTTGTAGCTGGGGTATTATGCGCTGAATCGTAATAATAATAGGATGATGTACAATGCGTCAGTGTCAATTGAGTGCCGACAAGGTTTTTGATTTGTGGTGCATTGCGACGATCTTTGTACAAGATATGATAGTTTCGAATTTCACGCTGAATTTCCAACCACATGCGAAGCGACTTGAAACTATTCTTCCCGACGAAGTCACGGATGTTACACTCGTATGGTGCTCCCATCAAACGCAATTCATTCAATTGCATCTGTCGCTCACCGTTGCCATTGGTGGTATCTCGACGATGATAATTAGCGATATTTTGCCAATTTTATAATCGAGAACTGCCTTAAATCATTTGTGTATTATTGTTGATGGTTCATTATATTCTAAGAAATCCAATGATAATGTCTCGATGCTGCGGTCGTATGACTTTGGAGAGGCCCTGTTCAATTGATCAATGTTGGGATCGTTTGCTTGTGTCAACC